CTGTAAAGGACGTATTTGTTCCTTTTAATAACGGAGTGCGTAAAACGATAAAACGAGACTTATATTCGTGCCCTGTGGCGTCCCGTTCGGTTTTGTCGTAAGCCTGCAGTCGTCGTGCTTCCTCCGTAAAATAAAATATGAAATACCCATTTATATCGAGGTGCTGAAAATAACGACTGCACTTCGGCAATACTATTATAAAAATACAATGTTCTACATTTGGGCCGGCGATGTTTATTTCGAAATTTCAATTCGCGAACGATTTTCGTCCGTGGCTTAAGTGTAACAAACTTCGAAGGGGACTATGTGTTCGCCGAAAATTGAGGAACGTTCCCGAGAATTCGCTAAACCTAACCAAACTTTCAGGAAACCCATTATAGAGACAAGACTTCAAAAACGTTTTCCGCTCGCGCACATTTGTTCATAAAAACGTTATGATAATAGGGTTTAAAAATAAACTGCACTCCTCTTAAATATTATCCTCGGTAAAAATAATATAAAACAGAGTTAAACGTACAATCTATAATAGGTATTGAAGAATTTATTTTTAATAAAACTAATTCAAGTTTATAAAATTTAATTTAAAACGTCTCAGTAGCAATAACGAAATAGCGTCCTCCCGGAATTCGAAGACTTCAACTAAAGGGGACGGATAATTTGATATTAAATGAAAAGGGAGACTTCGCCTCTCACCACCGACTTTCAGCGAGACTGGTCTGTCATTTTTAGGTTTATAGAATGCGTTCTAAAACGCGTGCGCCCGATCATACGATTTCGGATAATGATAGCGATAGAAGTACTAGATGCACGCGTGTATAAAATGTAACACTCAGCGTTTAATCCGGATCAATTTACGATTCAAAATCCGAATTGATCCCGATTGAATGAAATATTGTCTACAAAATAATGCGATCCGTCTAGTTCGGATTACAATGACCAATCTGGAATGACAGATTGGGCATAACCGTTTACGATCAAAATCCTACCCTATCCTTTTCGGTCGAAAAAAGAATTTAAATATTTACTTTGTGCTATACAATATACAAGTTGTTTACAATTGATGTATAAACAATAATATACCAGTTTTTGAGCAATTATTCAATCAGAATACCTACTATATTTTTACTAAGCATGCACATATTTTGTTTCCATTTACTGAATTTAATATGTTATACGTCATATTGGAAAATAATCAAATATTAAAAATAAAGTAAGAAACGGCGATTTAATCAATTATTAAGCCGCGATAAAGTCGCGGAAAACCGTTAAATATTTATTTTGTATTAAAAGTTTTATTTTTTATGGCGACATTAAACGATAGTGACGCTAAATTATTGACAAAAATTGTATAATATTATTATCTAATATTTCTCGTATAATTTTCGATTTTATACAATTATAACTTTTTGGCTTGGCCGAAAAGTGAAAGGTACGATTTTGATCGCAAAGGAAAATGACCTTTTTTAAATTTTGTCGAAAAGTAAATCGACCGAAAACCGGAGGGTACAGTTTCGGTCGAAAAGGGTCTCGTCCGACAGATTTATCGTCTGGATTAATGATTAAATTTATTAAAACAAATGTTCTTTATGCAATTATTACAGATTAAATGAAACGAAATTCGATCTGTCGCGCGTCGATTAAACGGACCGAATCCGGATCAGTTTAGAATATTTTTCAATCGGGATTCCGAATTGAATATTATAAGAGGTCGGACTACAGAGTGGTTGGACCCGCCTACGCTGCGGACGGGCACGCGACACGACCGCGTGGTATGCGTCCCGGGCACAGTACTAATTCGTATTTATATATTATGACGTATACAACGGGAGACTCGTTGGATCGAAAAATAACACTGGGTACCAAACCGTTGTCGTACATTTTTGGCCCGAGCACCCAACAGCTGTTATTAATTGTTCGATTCGATACATTTTGGCATTCGCGCGGACACGGTTCTCATACTATCGTTTCGCGGTGACCGAAAATTCGACGGGAGTCCGTCGTAAACAATTTATTGTTCTCACTGTACTAGCTATCTAACAACACGTTATGTAAAAGTTGAGGTATTTAATGACACGGGTTTTTTTTTTTGTTTTTTTTTTTTTCAAAAATGCGAAAAGGGAGAATCCGTAAGCGATGCGCGTATACCTACGCGCATTTGTAATATTATATACTTTACACGGGCGGCGTTCGAAATCCGGACAGTTCAAAATCCCGACATTACGCATCGTACTATTATGTAGAGTGTAATTTTGGGATTTTAAACGTCGGAAGTTTAACTGCCGGGATTTTGACCCTGTCGGGATTCTAACACTGTCGGGATTTCGAATTATCAGGATTTTGACCGAATAGGGATTTTGAACTGTTATGATTTCAGTGTCGGGATTTTGATACAGACTTAAATGCGATTAACTCTAGTGCATTTTCATAATTCGCATAATTTTTTTTTCCACCGGGACTTTTCTTTCTCGTACTTTACTATAGGATTTTTACATCGTACTCGTACCTAGGCGCCTACAGCGTGCACTACTCCGATTACACACACGCTTTGAAATAACACGTGTACCTATAACAACATTATAATATTATTTCAGTTACCTGTACGGCTGCGCGGCCAGTTTATTATTATTATTTTATTATTTTTTTAATAAAATATTATTTACAGCGAAAGCGTATAACGGACAAATAATACTTTGAACAGCCAACGGTATAGAATCGCTTAATAATATGACGACGACGGCGACAGTACCGCGATATATTCGTAGTACCGACGATATACTTACGTTAATTTTTATTAGCTCGTATACAAGACAAAGGCTATGTTTTTTTTTTTCAGATATTTTATGACGTATACCGAATAATGCGATTTGTACGGAATCGAAACCATGAGACATCCGGATCGCACGTAGTAGTACCGTCCGGATGTTTACGGATTGCATCCGAGTTCCGTTCCAAATATAAAAATTTAATTTAAAGATACATCGATTCCGTCTCAGGTTTTTTTTTTAAATGATACACTAGTTCCGTTCCGTTTATGTTTTGCATTATTTATAAAATATATATCTTGCATGTTCAATCTTTAATCGATAATCGGCTAAACCTAAAACCTAGGTTTATAATACAAAATGTACGACTACGTTAACAATAAAGGTATTATTTATGAATGAAGATAATATTGATTTCATAAGCCCGTCTTATTGGTGTGTGTCCGCGTTGGTAAAATAATAATAATTTATATTAGAAACGGATTGCATGTATAGTGAAAAAGGACAAATTTGAATTGTCAAAAACGAATATTAATTTTGTTTTCGTGAAGAATTAGAAAACAATATTGAGCGCTGGAAGTGAATTCAAAAACAATGCATAACATAATTTATAAAAATCGGTAAAAATATTTAAACGTATTAATACAATGTATAAAAAGTCTTACACGTTGACCAAGATGGGGGTTTTTACAATGTTACCTATATTATTCACTTACAATACAAATAATGTTTTTTTTTTTTTATAAGGGTATAATACCTCACGGCGATACGTGTTTTAATGATATAAGGTGTAATAAAATACGTAACTACTTTATACAATGGTAATGAAGTGAAATATTTTTTTAAATCGGAACAAATAATGAAATCGCCTTCGAAAATTTAAACCACAACCACGATAAAACGGACAAAGTAATTTAAATCGCTAACAACTTCATGACAAATTAAAAAAAAAAAAAAAAATACTGACATAATACGCACGTAGATGAGCTACCGTTTTAAGGGAAAATTTGGAAAGGTAGACGGGAAATTTAATGTATATTTGTACGCAACGATTAACCGTTACTAACGAAATACGATTCTAAACGAAATTCGAATAATAGTGTTGCTCTGTCAATAATATATAAATGGTATGTGCCATGTTATGGTAAAATAATTACATATGCATTGTTTATTTGCCTTAATAATATTTGTTTAATATTGTATCTATTTTGCCGTTTTTCCTATTTTTTCCCCTATTTTTCCCATTTATTGGGAAAATTCCTGGAAAAATCAAAACATGACCTTCTCAAAGTACCTTCCCAGTCAGATTTCGTTTCAGAAAAAATGCTATCTTGTGGATCGGATCAGAATTTCCGGTAGAAAAGTTGTTCACAGATAAAAAAAACAACTAGAATAAACATCATTGTCAAACCGACGCATTCCTCGTTTCAGTCACAATCCAAAAGCTGTTGATGGCATTTGTAAAAAAAAAAACCAGCGAAACTTATTCGTAAAGAACTTTCTAACGACGATGTCTGTAATTTCGATGTATATTATTGTAGTAAACCTTTTTTTTTTTTTTATCAGAGACATAATCGGTAAATACTTTTAGATTCCGAGCGTAGCGAGGGAGCTATCGGTTTTACAATGTTGTTTATTTCTTTTTCTTTCTTTGTTCTTTGCTCTAGTCTGTGGACACGTTTTTTCCTAATAAACTTGATCCGATTTTTACGTTTTACAACTTTTCTAAAAAACAACACGGGTAGTCTAGATTGTACTTTAATCAGGTCATTTTTTTGATTTTCGACGCCATTTTTTTAATAAAAGCACTTAAGTGGGGAAAAAAAACGTGGTAAAACGTACTCTTTCACGATTGCATTATTTTATAAACACACGGACGACGTTCATTACCAGAAAAAATGGTTTAATCGAAAATTCGCACGACACCTGTTTTGTTCCTTTTTTTTTTCCAAATAGAAACGGTCATCGGGAACGGAACTCGGACGGCACCTTTTTCCCGGCGGTTCCGACGACGACGACGACGCGAAGTGATGGTGATGATGACGCCGATAAAACGATAGATAATTCCGGTCGTAAAACTGTTCGTATCATCATTACCACATGCGTATTATCATTGTGCAGCGACGACCGCGACGACGGCCGCACACGGTACACGCGCCTGCGCGTTCAGCGTCCGACGCGCGACACCTGTGCGTGTGCACGGCCGACGTGCCTACCTGTACGTCGTCTGTCTAACGTCAGAAACCGCCGCGGAGCACGACAGCCGCGCGAAAATACGTTCGCGGCTGTCGCGAGGATATTGCATTTCGTGATGTATTTTTGTTACGGCGACGACGACGACGATGTTCCGTTTTCCGCCGGAGACCTTTACGACAACCTTCGAAATCGGCCCGCGCGTCCGGTAAGTAAACCCGTTGTGCCATTATCGCCCCGATATTATTAACATATTATGAAAACGTCGACGCTCGCGTATTCGGCTCCCGTTTTCGCGGATACGGACGCGCCCGGTGACTCGACGGTCTCGCGGATTTTTCAAACCGAACGACAAATGCGGCGCGGTAAACCGGGTTCGAGTTGTCCGTGCGCCGTATGTATTAGGTACGCCAAGTCGCCCGGTCCACCTGTGGCTTACCCGGGAATTTTTTAACGAGAGGAGAGAGGAGTGGGTGGAGGGGTGTGGGGTGGTTGAACGGTGCAAACGAAAATTGTTTAACATTATAAATACATAACAATAATGCGAGCGAGATATTTCCAAATCTGCAGATACGCTTTATGCTCGTATGGTCCTTTTTCCGAGTAAACACGATTGTATAGGTACGATACCATTATTTGTACATTTATTATTTAATAGTTGAGTTAGACGTTATAGGTACATGTGCAAATATTATTATTTTATTAACTAAAAAATTGGTCGACGCATTGTTTCTATTAAAATTATTTTTATTTTTTGTAACAAGGCCAATAAGGGGAGGGGTCTATAAAGTCTCATTGCCCTGCCTCTGGTGTCACCACTTTCCTACGCAACTCGCTTGCACAGTTTGCGCGTAGACGTTTTCTGAGAGGAGGGGAGGGTAATAAGAAGAGAAAATAATATCTCCACCCCGTAATATTTTAATCTTTGGTATTACTAACAAATAACAAATAACTGATTTCTATACTGGGAGGAATACATCTGGTTAAGCCTTCTCTTTTCCGTCCCCAATCGATATTGAATTTCACCGCGGGCTACTTTTCACCCAAGATTACGCCTATGTACCCGTGTGTTCCTCAATTCATCTGTGATGGCATCAAAGATGGCTTTATCACTCACCGTGTTTCTGAATCGGTTGGCGAAGTGTGGTGGACTAGAATGTGTGTTTGTTATCTCATTTTTTTTTTTTATGGCAAAAGCCGATAACAGTTATAATATTTAATTATAATCATTATAGATTCAGGTTTCATAATAACACTGCTTGAAACGATGTTATTTTAATATTTAATGGTGCCATCAGTGATGCCGCCGCCGATGCCATCACAGATGAATTAAAGGAACACGTGGTATACACCGACTTAACAGACTGCAGAGGTGGAGAACCACGACAGGACCACGAATGAAAATCATTTAGTTATCACATTCAAAGGGAAGGCTCGAAAATTATAGTTTTAACGTGCAATGTTTTTTTATATGTTTTTACATGAACCTATGCCGGGACCAAAAAAAAAAAAAAAAGAAGATTTTTTACGTGTGTCGCGTTAAAATATTTGCATAACTCGGTAACTACTGTTCTTTTTTTTATTATTATTATTATTTATAATAGTAGGTGCCAGCAACAATAATCATATAAAAATTGCACAACAAAGCATAAAAACACATTATCACGTTTTTAAACATTTCTAGCCATATGGCACAAATTCTCGAAATGGTCGTTTTTTTTTTTATATATATATATTTCTTGTTTTTTCTTGACTTTCAAACTCAATTGCCCCGCGGACGGCCTTGGTTTTTATTTTCAATTACTATATTGCCTAGACGTACGTATTATATTGTGTACATTATATTGTATAGTTAACCATGCCCATGCGCGTCACTAAAGTAAAAATTCTGTTGCAGCAAAAAAAAAAAAATTATCTATAAAATATTTGCGTCCTGTTTATTTTTCGAAAGTGAACAAATAATTCGCCGCTATTATCGGTAATTCTATAATCAACACTTTATATTCGAATACAGATAATTGCATGCCATTACAGTAGTGTAAATAAATTAAATTCAGATTTTTCAACTTTAGAATTGAATTAAAAACTGCACATTTCGTGTGTCGGTACTTAAGTACCGGATCGAAAACAATTAATGTTATCACATTATCATATTATATATATATATATATATTATTTTGTATAAATACCTACGTCGATAGTAAACAATTTTTTTGACCACGATAATTGTACTTCACACTGTACATTAATCACAACTTCCAACTATAAAACCGGAAAATTTTCGTTAAGACGCGTACCTATACAATAAATATCGATTATAATAATTAATACATTTTCAAAATTCAAGTATTTTTTTTATGGCGTCGTTTCGTCACCCCAAACAAATTTATGGGGTAACAAAAGTACCTCTCGACACCCCTTTGTGACGCCTATGCAGTTTACGGTTATTAGGAACCGCATAGCCGCTGCAACTCCCTGCCACTATATAACAATACCCGTCACAAGACTTATTATGTACTTACTGCACTCAGCAGTATTCCGGTACGGTATTGCGATTACGACTCCTATATAGGCTTTATATCCCAATCCCGAATCGATACGAAAGTAATTCCGGTGAAATGGCCAAAACGCGATAAAAAATAAATAAATAATAATAATAAAAAAAAACATTCGTGAAAATCCTCTATATACAAAACAAAAAAAAACCCAATGTCAATGCATTTATCGAGTTGGAAACTACTACAAAACGCCATTAAAATGGTTTTTTTGTTCACGTACATTTCGAAAGCCTCTTTTTGTCTATTCTTATTATAAGAAAAAAAACAATGACATAATTATAATATTAATTTATATTTTTATTATAAAAATGCAAATATTTACTGGATCGTTTTAATTAAATTTTTTATTTGTATACTTCATTGGGGCGCTGTAAATTTTCTTAAAAAATACGCGTATTTTTGTTTATTACACCCTGCCCATCCGAATAAGAAGAATATAACTTTAATAGCGTCGCATATAGTCTTTTTTTCACAAAACATTATTAGTTTGAAAAGTTTGTTTTGTAGAAAAAAAACACGAATATTTTAAACGCTCTCTCTCTCTCTGTTAAATATAATATTTCGATATTTTACAAAAAAGACAATTTGCCGATCTCCAGAATAACCTCTTGCATTTGTTGTTATTGATTTTTTCACGGTCGGCAAAATTGTTACCTAGGCGCCTATATATCTAGGTGCCGAATTTTCCGATAAATTTAACAGAAAAAATTATCGATTTTAATGACGAAATATATAGACATTCCGCTTCAAGCAACAGCTGTGACATAGTCGCACGACTATATTTTGATGTTATTACAGTTTACTTGTAATTTAGTATTATGGTAACACGAACGCGTTGTGTCCGATTTACACTTTACACAGCAAGACACGGCACGACACGACAAAATATCCAATCAAAGAATGTTTTGTCGGTCTGTCGGTGTCTGTCGGAATCGATTTAATTAAAATATACATATTTTAAATTCTGAGCGGAACGAGGAATGTATTGGTTTTACAATGATGGGTTTTATTTTTTTTTTCAGTTGACAATTTTACTGCCAACAATTTTTTTCCGATTTACAATGACGACACTTTTTCTGAAAGTAAATCCGACTTTTTCCAGCAGTTTTTATAATAAGTAGGAAAAACCATGAGAAAATCGTAAAAATCGTACAAAAAACGAGAAAATAGGTACAATTTTAAACAAATATTATTAAAGAAAATGTACAACGCATATGTAACTATTGTATCATAATATGACATATACATTGTTTAGAAAGCAACGCTAATAATCAAACTCTGCTCAGAATCGTTTTTCGTTAGCAACGATTAATTTTTGCGTACGGATATACATTGAAATTCCCCTCTAAATTCGCAACTTCTCGTCTACAATAGTGCCCCCCCCACCCGTCGTGCAGAGTATGTCCGTAGTTTTATAATACAAATCTATAAAAATAAATCCGAAAAAAGTCTTAATTACGAAATTATAAATGTGTAGGTACTCATTTTTTTTGAACCGATAAGGAAAAACAATTTTGTTTCCGGTGTCGGAAAAATCGTTAAAACACAAAAATCCGACCGGTCGAACCTAACCGACCGAAACAAAACATGCGCGTATGTTGTAATCGAACAAATATCGGTTTGAAATAGCGTGGGTTTAGTGCGTGCCTCTGTGGTCGCCGGTCGGTCATGATAATAATATTATGTGAACTGCACGACATTTTTGTCCGTGCCGTGTCGTACAAGTGTCAATCGGACTTTACTCGCGTGTATCGGTTAGGCGCAACAAACAAAATTACTCGTAATTTAATATTATGGAAACGTGCGTTATGCTGCAGCAGCTATCTATCACTCTGTGGCCGCGGTACGCTCGAATATATTATTATACTGTTCACATCGAGATAATGATAATAACTTTGCGATTGAATAAAAACGGCAGTGTAGAATTTTGCGTTTGATCTATACGCGTATAGGTACCGCGTATATAATATTACAATGTACCAGTACTCGACGCGTACGAGTATGATGTAAACAAAAGCGATCGCGTCGAATTTTAATTAAAAAAAAAAAAAAAAAAACCGCGTTCTCTTTCTTGTGTTTATAAACTGCACGAAAACACCGTGATACGTGTAACGCGCCCGAAAATCGATGTCTGTCTCAGATACACTCAATATAACGTAGACAAACGTAAACACATTGTTCACTATTCCACGCGGATTTCGACGACCCGATATCGTTGTTATGATTTATTTTCACATCGGAACGTCGAAATTCGCAATAAGCACAATCAAAATAACGCAATACCAGTTTAAATACGATCACGTTTAAAACATCCGAAGTTATGCGAACGGATCGGTTGATTCGTTTATTTGACGGACAAACGCACGACTCCGGTAATACATCAGTAGAATATTATGGCTTACAGAAAAAAAAAAAAAAAAACCCAGTAAAATTAATAATATTGTAAAGTATTTTATCAACTGTTCTGAATCAAGTACTGAACCGCTGTTTTCATCTAAAATTGGCCGTGCACATTCTTAACACTCTCAAATGTCTGAAATTGATTGTACCAGGTGTTAGATATTACTGAATGTAAACGTTTCTTTGTTAGATTATCAAAGGATTAAGCATTTGTTTCATCATTACCTTTGTCGCGTACAGCTTAAACAATTAAATATACGATTAAAATATATTTATTATGTGTTTGTTTATTATGTTGATTAAATTGCCTATAGACTTAATACAAATGTCCAATTTTTAAAAATAGGTATAAAATGCACGTATCGTAAAACATTCCCTGAACGAATTTGTTCGGTAAAAATAAATAGTTGGACCATATATATACCTGTATACTGGTCATAACGAAAGTATAGGTCATTAAAAAAAAAGTCCAAATTTCAGGAATAGGTTTTTCTTAATTTTTAACGACTATGATTTTCAATGATAGATAGTTAGATAGCGAACTAGTTAGTTAGATAGTTCGATATATCAGGCGTTAGTTTAGAAAACGCTAATATTTGAACGATCGGTGGTTCAAACCCCGTCGGAGTGCAAAGAATCGTTTTTCATTTTTTAAGGAATATTCTAAGGATAAAAAAAAACGGACGTCTGGACATTCTATGGGTATCCTAAGTACGGGTACAGCCCATTCGTGCCTTTGCAGAGTAGCCGAAATGCGCCCCGGGGGATGTGGATAAATGTGCCCAAACGATAAGGGTACCTGTCGATTTATAGCCCATATGCGTCCATTTCGTGTGCAACGTTACCGTCATTATTCGCATATATAAATATATATTTTTCTAATTCTGAGCGTAGCAAGAAATGCATCTATTGGTTTTGCAATTATGTATTACGCGATACAATATTATTATGTGAGGTTTATACGAAAAGTAAAAAAAATAAACCAAATCTTATGAAATAAAGTATAGGTACATGTAGATTAATCACCTAGATAAATAGATTGCAATACTTTAATAATATTCGTCCTAACGCTATGGTTTACGTGTATGTAGGCACATACAAGTTTTGTATGTTAATCATTTATTTTTTTGCTTTACATAAAAAAAAAAAAAAAGTGTTAATATAACAATAACTTCGTGTGATTCTAGTTTCGTGTAAATGAAATGTTGCGAAACGCGTGCACAGGGTGAACTATCCGTGAATGATATTCGATAATATACCGGTCACGAAACGCAATTAAAATATAATGGAATGGTATTCGATAATATCGATAAGGGTGCAACGTAAAAACCGACTAAAAACCGTTGAAATTGGTATCGCACTGTATTCCAGCACAGAGATCGGCAACGTTGCACGGTTTTAAAGCCAAGTTTTGTATGTTAATCATTTATTTTTTTGCTTTACATAAAAAAAAAAAAAAAAAAAAAGGTGTCGTGGGCACAAGTGGGTTTCTCCGGTACGTACGTCTCACGGCCGTGATTCTGTTGTGCGAGATTATGATTGTGTGATACATAATAACTGTTTACGGATGTTGAAACAATGTTTTGCGAAAGACGCCACCGCTACGGAAATATCATCACAAAGATGGTAAACATACATAGGTGGACGGAACGCAATTTTCGATGGTCCATCATTACGAATATGCGAGTTGACAACTTTTCAAAAACCTCTTCAATTGTTACTCAGTGTTTGCGCGAAACGTTTGCCGTATGGGTGTAATAATATAATATTAAACCATAGACAATAATAAAAACTAAAGTAAAGCGTCAAGTTTGAAAAGCGAAATTTCCAATTGGATTGTTTCGTATAATAAAAACAAGAAATTATTGTCCACAGATGAGAAACATAATAGTAGTATATATATTGCGTTTTATGTGACAGAATTGTGACTTTTGTTAAACAAAAACTTTAGACTATCCATTTCTAAATTCCAAAACAAGTTAATTTTTTAATTTTATACTGATATTACGTACTTTATTTCAAAAATATTCGAATATTTGTATACAGTTATTAGAAATATAAATCACTCTTACAAATAAATTTATATTTTAAATGACTGTTTTCCTTTAACACCACACGTCTACCTGTAATAGTACGCAATGTACGCGTACAAGTATAAAACAGAAAAAGATTTTTATAGACGTGTAGTGTTGTGGAGGAAAACAGACATTTAAAATATAAATTTATTTGTTAGAGTGATTTATTTTTTAATACAATAGTCAAAACTAATTTGTTGGGCCGTTTTTGAGAGTCTTTGTACTTGGTAGTGCAAAATAATCCTTATTTTGGATCATTATACATCAGATAGGGTAACTTGTGGTACTGGAGGAAAACAGGCAATTTTAAGATGAATAAATAATAACAGATCGGGTTTTTTATTTGATTAAAACTAATTTGACTATGTAAAATTTGACTGATACAATGGTCTAAACTATTTTGTTGTACCATTTCAATATTGTTTCATGCAATGTGGTGCCATTTTCCCAGCACCACATTTTCTTTTATTCACAGAGCTTTTAATTTTGTCCAACATTCTCCAACAAACATCCACAAATTTCCATCAAACCCATGTAAATATTGTTGGATGAATTTTTCAAACTTTAAAGCCCAATATGGTGTTACTTGATACCGAAAATTTCAAATTTGAATCACTTTTTAAATTTTCTTCAATAAATTCCAACAACTATCCAACTACAATATCCAACAACTCAGAGTAGAAATTGTAAGAATATTTTTTTATTTTTTTGTGAACTTCCAGCATCACGTACCTGCGCGGCATTCTTTCTTTTAATTCTTTTAATATCTAACAATTTTAAATAATAACTCTTTTTTACTCGTCTGCAGTAAACCGTTCATCAGTGCAGTATATATTTATATCTATACATTGTATTGTAGAAGGTTTTTAATAATACAACTTCTTCGTGAATCCGACGTTTTTCTCGGTTAATTTTTTATAATAAGTACGTTCGTTTTATCTTTCTTTTTTTCTTTTTATAAAGTAATTTTCATTTTGTACATAGCAGTCTGAAGAAATTGCACTTTTTATAATATTATTTTTACAGCAATAACAAAACATAATTTAAATAAGTAATTATTTAAAATATTTATGCATAGGTATATGTTTTTTTTTATTAGAAATTTCAAAATGAGTAGGTATATAATCTCGGTCAATTGTCTTATGTAATATATTAAAAGGTGAGCTGTAGCAATCGGAAATAAACAAATATTAATGATTTCTTATTTTTTTTACACGTCTTTTGAAAATGTCAAATCTCAGTTTTTCTTTCTCTCTTTAGTTTCAAATTCCGAGAAAAAATGCGTAGGTATATAATCATGTTTTTTTTTTTTTTTTTTTATGAAAATAATTTATAAAAGTATAGAGGCACGACAAAGAAATATTATTATTACGCTATACACAACTTGCTGTAATGCAGTGAACACAATATTGTTAAACATTAAATTGTTATATGCGTGTAACAAACGAGATTCAGTATTTGATTCTATTATATACACATCGGCATTGTCGACAAATCGAAATAAAAAAACCTGAAAAATAATTTGCATCAGCTGATGTGATTATAGTAAATACTAAATATACTGTATGATTATAATTTTGTTTGACATATGAAAATAAGAACATATATTGTAATATGCAAAATACGAATTTACTGATTCAAAAAAAGTACTATTCTTGGGAATTGGATTGTTGATAAAAAAAAAGTAGTTCACAGATAAAAAAAAATATTGCTGATGGGTGTGCATTGCTGTAGGTAGGAAGTTGTGAAGGTCGGATGCATACATTTATTTAATTTGTATCTGAATACAACGATAAATCATAGCTAATGAAAGACAATTCTGAACGAAGTTGGGTTACACGTGTTTTAAAATGTCATAATTTTTAAAATATTCGACAAAATTTGAACTTAAAACTCATTTTAAAAAAACTACCATATTACGCTCAACTTTTTTTTTTTACAACCAAGTAAAACTTATAATGAACCACGTGTTAAATCAAAACAATTTTAATCCAAAATCCTTTTAAATAATAACTCAAAAAACGCCAAATGTTTTGAAAAATTCTATCACACCTTATAAACGCTAATATAATAGTGATAATAATAGTAATAGTATATTTTAGATCTTTATGGTTGTTTTTAACCGAATAACTAAATAGAAAAAAAAAATTAAAATAATTAAACTATTAATGCCGTTTATTATTTTTCACAATTACTAAGAAAACTGCAAAGATAATAAAAAAAATATACCTCCCCAATGCACCAACTAGATACAATTTACTACGAAAAATCTGTCTGGTAATTTTAAGTTTGAACAAAAGGAAAGTAGTGGAGCATAATTTGTGTTGGTGCGGAGCGCGTGGAGGGTAAATGATACTCCATTGCTCTTCTACTGAACTTAAGAGCAAAATATTTCGTTCAAAGGTTGTCGAAAATTAATAATGTCCATACCAATTTGGTATGTAAACTAAAACTTCATGTATTTTTGTAATTTTTAATATAAGTTGCTACCTGAAAATCGAATTCGGGTAGTAATGTCATGAACGAATATAAGGGTAAAAAAATAACAATAATCCAACGCGACTTGTTTCTTAAATGATCTAAATATAAATTCTGAAAAACGTTATCCGAAATATTGAGCGTTTTATATGTTGATCACCCTGTATAGAAAATGTTCAAATCCTGCAGTTACGTTATGTATGGTATATACATGTTATCGCATAAGGAAATTTCGACTCAAAATAAGATTTCATTGGATTATTTTTTTTTATTTCTTTTTCTAACAGTTTTTTTTTTTTTGCACATACTAGAATATAACATATAATATATATATATATATATATATTTATATATAAGGTTTCGTAAAATAAGATAGAATCAGAGACATGCATTATAATAATACTGCAGACGAACATTCGGAAAATAAAGTGGGCACGCGTGCCGTGATCGGCAAATTCTTCAATACACGCACATCAAGTTTGAGCGAAAATAAAAAAAAACAAAACCCAGGATTACTATAATAAAAAAATCAAGTCGAATCGTGTATGTAACCGTAGTTTCTATAGTATGTAAAATGTAGATAAATACAAAAATATTGAAAACCTTGATAACCAGATATCTCTAGTTTCTTTGAGAATTCATTTTTTAAATAACAAAATTCTTTATATATTTTGGTGTTATAATCAGATATACCAAAAAAAATTATTACGTGACAGTCAGATAAATATGAAAAATTCAAAAACATTGAATAGATAAAGTACAAGGACATAATAAGAAAAAATAAAAGCCTTCAAAACTTGGTGCTGGCGTAGGTTATTCAGTTATTTATAATCTCTTGAATAGAAAAGGTAACAAATGAAGAGGCAAACGATAGATATCACATCTATATAAAGAAATCGAATATCACAAATAAAACAAGGAATTTAATAAAACTTCACAAAATAATAAAAGGGAAAATCGAAAGAAAACCAGGAATAGGAAAGCCAAGGCAGTCATTTATACAATAAATTATGTTGGATACAGGAAAGGAATCCTGCAAAAAGTTGAAGTATGGATAGAGAAGAGTTAAAGAGCATAAAATTATTCTACCAATCTGCGGAATGAAAGAGAAAAAAATTCACTCTCACGGCCCCACAATAGTAACTATCAACTAGCATGTTCGTACGTATAACAGTGCGTGCTTAATTGCTTTCAGGATAATCCGATAGTTACTATCGCTCTGTCAGCTGCCAATTGTCGAATTTGCCGCAATGGAAATTTAATTTTTATGACCTAAAATTTGAATAGGTATTTTATACTATTATCTGAGTTTTGGGTGTTAAGTTTGAACGCAAACAATTACGAAAGAATGTAATTTTATTTATTTAATGTTTAATTTTGTTTAATGATTGCACTTAATCTTTGTTGTTTTATTAAATGCATTATATAATAATACGTACGCTCGTGCATACGTTTAATAATATATTGTTATTATTATTATTATTATTGTTGTTGTTGCTATTGTTAAATAACAAGCATTTAATATCGACAATGTTCCGGTATTAGTAGTCTTTCCCGTCAAAACATGTCGGGCCTAATCGGGCGAAAAAAAATGTCAGTCCACAATGCCGCAATGGCGGCCGAGGTCATAACGTCCGAGAGAGTGCGTAATAAACTACAGTAACAATTATAGCCTAATATTAATAGGTGCGCGCGGCACGTGGAGGACATTACTGTACCGCGACAGTTCGCGTATCATTATCGTAATATTTTTCTTTTTCTTTTATCGTATTATTATTACATTGCGTTGCGCGGACGTGACATTGTCGAGACCGATTACCATACATACTTGTATACACCGTGTCCCACGGAGGAGATTTGAAAACTGCAATAACTTTTGTGTTCCGTTCGACATTTTTAAGTTTTTTTTGTAATAATTAAACTACTATAGATGTGCTATGATTCTTGTGTTTTATAAAATCCAAATAGTTAAAGTAGTTTTATAAATATAATTCGAAACTATACCAATGTTTGCTAACAATGAGTAGTTTATTTTCTACAATTTTTTGAAGTTGATGATAATTTTAATAGTATTTTCGTGTCCACTAAGTACTAAATAATAGTATCAATTAATTTACCGATTTTTTCATGAAAAATAATGTTTGTAAACTTCAAACAATTTAAGAAAATGAACAACTCAAAATTTGTAGCACTGAAATTTTTTAAGAGAATTTTGTCTAAAAATGTATAAACTGTTTAGTTTTAGCAAAAATATTAAAAAGAATAAACAAAGCTCTGTTAATTATTATATAAAGGAAAACAATAAATAAAATGTCCACGGGTCCTCACATTATTCTCTTTCTAAATCCATAATACTAATTTCGCCAAAACCTCACCCCTCTAAGAGCGTTGCCCTTATTATGTAATCATCACCCCGACTTTGATTTCTTCCATGGTCCCATAATTAACATTAATAAATCTTCCACTGAATTATTAATTTCCATACACGCCATCCTTATCGCGGGGATTAAAGAGCGAAGGTGGGAGTCCCCCTATTTATTTGAGGTAAAATGATCAGTGCCCATTCGCTTTAGTGTTCGCAATCCGGGGCGACGATTTAATTTTTGTCACAGAAAATTGTTTAATGAAATTTTAAAAACTCGAATTAGTTTTTAATTAATTCCTTAATAACTATTTGAACATAAATCTTCGTGGGACACCCTGTACGTGTACTCGTATTATACGAGTATGTGTATGCTATGATATCATCACCCCGGAATCGAACACTTTGTTCGCTGCACGGAAATTATGCCGGCTCCGGTATTTATAATATAACACACACGTAATAATATTATTATTATTGCTGTACGATAGTAGCGATTAAAAGGATATTAATAATGTTAGTTCGAGTGTACATTTTCGACGAGTGTTTTCTGACAACCTCTCGAGATATACCGCTCGCATATAGTGTAATAACCAGGTAAGTACATACATCACGCGGTCGTCAGTGAAAACCACGTATTTATATAAAGAGTAATCGCCCCCCACCACCCTTCATAAGACGCTTTAGCCATTATTGTATGGTTCGGGACTTATTGCGCTTAATTCAAAAAAAAAAAAAAAAAATGCTTAAAAATGTTAATAAAAAAAGCTCTGAAAATGGTATTTGAAAAATAATTAAAAACAAAAACAGTAGAAGGGTTTAAAGGTCCCCTAACTGTTTAACAGCTCTAAATTATTAAATACAATTTTCTAACGCTAAACAAATTATTGAATCAGTTGTTTTTTTTTAAAAAACATAATTACTTTTGTTAAACATTTGTGTCGTATCAGAAAAAATGTGTTTGATAAGTCAAAATCGTTAGGTACTGGACCATAAAACCTCTACCATTTTTTTTGAAATGATTTTTTTAACATTTTAAGCGCTTTTTTGTGAACTTTAAGTGGAATATGATCCGAGCCCTTTAGTCATTAGTAAAGGGCCGACTTTGATGCATTTATAAAAAATTAAGATACTATACCTATGCAAAATAAAATTTTGAAATACGTGTTCAAACATCAAAATATGCACTAAAATACTAAAATATCAACTATTAATTATTTAAATATATATATATATATATATATATTGGTAGCAGATAAATATATGCATTAACAGCGCAAAATATAAAACAAATTATGCTCATTTGACTTTTAACATTGAAGGAAAAATTAGACACTGGTCTTTTCAGCATTTTTCCTATATTTTATTGGAACATCTTGGTTTAAGACACACGCAGATTTGTCGATTTTTTTTTAAACGACAGTCCGGCATCTATAGGTATATCCATAGATAGATATATCGAAGAGGTTATTTCAGTAGAAATAATTAATTGTTTCGACGTCGACGGGTTTTTTTTTTTTTTTTTTTTAATTTCATTTAACTAATCTGTAAACGGCAAAATCATTTATTAAAAAACTGTATATTTTGTTGATCATATTATATACGTATGCGGTTATTGTCGTTTAAAGATCGAAATTCCTAGGACTTTAGTACATTGTATTTATAGTTTAACATCGATAAAAAAAGAAAAACGATGGAAATTACAGGAATATATTTTATGCGATTATTGTATTCGATTTCGATGGTGATTAACTTCTCGAACGACTACAGAGAAAATATTCAAAAAGTTATTGTACTTTCCGAAATAGCTGCTATAGAGTGTCTTGCGGACAAAAAAAATCACCCTGTATAATAAACCGTGTTGATATTTACCTGTATGTGACGTGTGTATAAATACTTAAACAACTGTGCATAATTATTTTCGAATATATATTTGTCAAGTGTTTTTTTTTTTTTTTTCGGCTCGTAATAATAATCGGTTTGATATCGAACGGTTGGTAGTCCAATACCACACGTATACCGATATTTTGAACGTTATCTTTCCGCTAGTGTCTGCATGTTGTAATATTGAAGGAATGCATGTAAAACGACCGCGTACTTAATTATTTTTGAAAAACCGTTGTGGACGGGGGGGGGAGGGAGGGAGGGAGGGAGGAGTGGCAAAATACACGAATACTACACGCGTTATACCTATACACCGTTACGGTAAATATGAAACTCATATTAATATAATATTATGTCGGTAGGGTACTTGAGCGAATAATACTGAAAACCGATGGAGTGGTCTTCGTCTCGCGGCCAAAGACGTGGAATTCGAGTAATTGCACGGGAACGGGAAGTGGCGTATAGCAATAAGATTCTATTAGTTCTCGTCTGGCGCACGGGTAAGATGAAATTATTAATATCGGTTAATTGGGCCGATAATATTAATATTCGCGTGTACAAATATTACAAGGGCCGACGTCCTATATAATATAATAGCAGTCTGCGACGATTAGTCGGCAGAAGAAGCGGTCCTAGAAGTACTCTCGCGAATAGGAATAATAATTGACACTAAAACGTACCGTCTGTATTATAGCTACAATTCCGAGAAATTTCGGTTGAACACGCTCGACCGTAACACTGGAAGTTGAAGTGGCGGCAAAGGATCCCGGGAGATAATACCGTAAGTACTCCATTAATGCGCATGTTGTTATAAACTGGGACGCTTAAAATCTGCACCGAACATATCTGCGCGAAACCTGCGCAGGACCTTTTTCCTTTCGATTTTTCTAATATCACTATTTATCTATTCAAACGCTCGTGTAGGCTCAAGAACAACATATAATTTATAACGAAAATTAATGTAAATACCAATCAATTGTCAAAAAATCAGTCCTCTCGTCCATTGTCTCCACGTAACAATATAACTTGACCGCCACTGGCTGAACGAATATCAAAACTTTTTAGATACTGAGCGCAGCTAGGAATGCGTAAGCGTTTTTTTTTTTTTTTTTTGCCCGTCTGTAAACAACTTTTTCGATTTTATTCCCTTTGCACTTTACTTGACGATTGGGAAAAACAAAACAGTTTACGATTATTTTCGATTATGTTTTTTTTTTTTTATAAAATTTGGTTTAAAAGATATTTAAAATTATCACGGAATATTTAGCCTTCCCTAGACCATTTAACATTTTCTAGGTTTTTTTTTCGATTTCAATTGGTTTTATGCAGATGCGATTTATTTGGCCGAGCAGAAATTCTGGAAATATTTCCACGACGTTCGTCATAAGTTGTAGTTGTAATCGTCAAGTTCAAAATTTTTCGGAAATCGTAAATATACTACCGCATTTCTAAACATGTACCTATAACAGAACTTTGCTCAGGATCGTATTTCGTTAGCAATGATTTATTGCAAACAAAATAACTCTATGCATATTACGTTTTCAATTTCCCACCTAATACAATGGTACATCCATCAACAATATCATCTCTTTTTTTTTTTTTTTATCACGTCAACTTGTATGTAATAGACGGGAAGTAATGGGTAAAATGAAAACAAAAACGGTGAATTAGATTACACAGTATTGTATTATTTTATGTAATTGACATTGATTTTAAATAGTATTCCTTGTGAGAAGAACCTGCAAAAATAAATTCTCAATAATAAACTTAAGATAATTTCATAAGTTCATAAAGTGCAAACGTCACATGTCAAATAACACTCAACGATTGTTTATACATCAAAACTATAGTCTTAGTTGATATATGATTTTGAAAATTTTGATATAATTAATTTGACTTTAATTTAAACAAATCGCTCATACATTGTTTTTTTGTATTACCAGATCACAATAAATAATGTTACTTTGAAAGTTTCTGTTTGACAAATAGGGTAGGTACATTTTCTATTCGTTTCCCCTCTTTTTTTAATAATATACGCAATGGTAATAATGGCACACTCAAATAAACGGTTGTTAATGGAAAACTATACGTACCACTTTACACGCTTTTCCTGCGACTAATAAACAATCCCGCGTAAGGCGATAAAAATAGGTACTAAAACAAAAAATAAAATAAAAAAATGTATATTTCAATTGTAACCGTATATTATAGTACTTTTAGATTACACGGATTGGTTGCACTTACTATTTACGATTACGGTTCTATTTCTATCTTTTACTGTGGTTTTAAGCTTGTCGTATTGTCGAAAATATAAGTCCGAAGAAAAAATATCAAACGTTTTGTACGTTTATTATCGTGCCGTTTAACCGTTACGCAGCAATATTATCATCCGGTTTAAATCCTCCCCTCCTGGATTGCAAAGCTATCCGCGTCATTGGCGCGCGCAAAGGGGAGGAGAGGTAAAGATTATACCCCCACCATCGGCTTAAAAATACGACGATTATGAGTTTATTCGGCCGTTTAATTTTTATATGTATATATTTCAGTCGAGGCATGAGAAATAGCTTGATTTATTGATTTTACTTATTAGGATCCGGCTTTTAAATTCCCCATAGTCGTGTTACGTAGAAAAGAAGGTTCTACGTTTTACTCGCGACTGTTATTTGCCACGTCCCGTCCCATTGAAAATTCCCGGGCACGCCACTGATCCGCGCAAACATACTCCCGCACCAGCGCCCGATTGTCCATCGCATAATAATAAATTACCGAGCCAAACACAAGTGTCTATATTCTTGTTATTATAACGCGAAACAAAGCCAATCGAAACGTAGGTTTATTCGTAATTGAAAAAAATAACAATAAATCCATTTTTATCTATAGGTTTTCGAATATTTTAAGTACTTCTCTAGAGTCCATCCGTCTTTGTAATATGTATATTTAGTGTGTTTGATCATAAATAATTAATCAACATGTAAATATGATTTTGTTGCAGACTATTATACAACTTTTCAAACGATTAGACCTAAACATTAATTTAATCTAGCGAACGTCATTTATAAACTTTATAATATAATATAATCAGTATATTATAACCCGTTTAGTTTGAATATAATATAGAGTTATATTATTATTCGAATTAATTCGAGTCGAAGTTTCTTACAGTGGCGTATATTTACGAGAGGAGATTAGGAAGATATAATATACGCATACAATACATAATAATATAATTTATCCTCTTGAATTATTTTCGGTTTTTAATATTTATAAGATAGGTACCCGTTTTTAAATTAAAATTTCTATATTTTTTATTCGGACAAATGTACAGTTAAATGTTTACTGTGTCGGTACCTACAACCTATATCAAAAAAAAAAAAAACGTGAACACAAATCGGTATCCAATCAAGGAGGTCATTAGAAAATCAGTACCGAGATAATCAGATAGTAAATCAATTAATAATAAACAGTTACTCAACTATTTGTATAATTATACAATATGATTCAATTTCTAAATTTCAACATTTCCCTCTTCGGCGAAATCCTAAATACACCGCCGGTTTCTTATTTATATACGTTGATTAATTTCATACAGTTATACGGGATACAGTTTTAAAGTTGAAAATAAATAAATAAAAAATAAAATTTTGTTGAACTAACGAAAATAAATACATTTTAAAAATCGTTAATTTTATAAAACATTAATATCGGATGAAATATGCACATTATAAAATTATAGTGAACCGTTTCATAGACATTTATAAATTTATACTGAAAAAGTTTTATTTCGTTTTTTTTTTTCTATTTAGTTTTACGGATTCTCTTCTTTTTTTTTTTTAATTTTATGTGACATATAAATTAGTTTTAAAAGCTTCGCGCAAAAATAAATAAATCATTAGCGAAAAGTCGACAAAAATATTTTCAGCGGCATATTAAATTATTATTATAAATAATACAATAATAATTGTTATGTTTTATTTCATTATATTAAACAATATGTACGTGTACATATACCTAGGCTTTCATCAGATCTAGAATCAAACGGAATTTCTAAAGTGATTTGTTTTTTTTTGTTTTGTTTTATGCCCCGTGACTTTGTTGATTTTTATTTTCTGTAGACCGCACGGTTGTATAAAAGGTACAAAGGGATCGCAATTTCGTAAATGGAAACTATACGCATCATAATCAAATTTCTGGTTGAGATAATAATAATAAATATCGTGACAATTAAATACATTCGGTCGTTCTCGTATTGTTCAAATTGTCTTTATTTTTATTTCGTTTTAAATTGAGTGTGGGTTTTACTTTAAAAAAAAAAAAAAAAAAAAAGAAGAAAAAATAAATAAATACAGATATAGAATAATAGATATTATTATTACGCATTGAATTGGCCGCAGGAAGAAAATATAATAATAATAATAACAATAATAATAATAGTGAATTCTTTGTCATTTTTCTCGTCCGCGGCGGCGGTGGTGACGGAATTCTTTACATTTCAAAACAAAAACGAGAGCTCTCTAACGATATTTCTTGCCGTCGTCGTACAAATTTGTATTTATGAGGACGCTATAACACGTCATGCATTAGTTGTTGTTTTTGTCGTACAAACGCGCGATGTATTTAAAACATGCTTACGCGGACTACACAGATATCGCTTGATTTTGGTTTTAGAGAGCAAAAACAAAAATTGAACAAATTAAATTAGACCAATATTCCGGGGACAAGACGTTGCGTTTTTTCCATTTTCTGCGAACAGTTGCCCAACAGTCAATTTACCGTTTATAAAATATAACAACTTTTTCAACATTTTTTTTTTTTTAAATTCTCTAAAACTTTCGAAAAAGAATAGTTGTTTTCAAAAAAAACTCAGTCTTGCCCGCCGGAATGTTGTTTTCTATAAATTAATTTCATAAGAAGTGCTTTGGCTCTAAAACCAAAACCAAACGAGTTCTGTGTAGTCTGCGTAAGAATGTTTTTACTATATCGTGTGTTTGTAAGACGGAAACAACAAATACATGCGAATATGTGTCCTCTTAAACTTTATAAACGACGGCGGCGGTCAGTGACGTGCCCAGGGGATGTAACAAATACAAATCGCGAATAAAGAACAAAATCGTCTTCTCTAGCCAACTCGACCATGGGAATTGGTAATTTAAAAGCCGGATCCTAATAAATAGCCAATTTCTAATCAATACATCAAGCTTTTCTTCGTAACTTTGCTGAAATGTATGCATTTCGATATTAGACAACTCGTATTTTTTTTGTATTTTTAAGCCAATGAGGTGGGGATATAAATTCTAACTTCCCCCTCTGCGCATGCCACTGGCGGCGGTGAACAATACCCCCGCCGTCGGATATAATACCGCCGTTCATGAGCTAAACTGGTTTAAAATATATACCCCTTTAATATTCTAATAATATTTTTGTTTAAATATTCTCTTTTCGAGTGGCCACGATAATCTTAAAATTTTCAAAACATTCTTACGTAATATGAGCTATTAATAGGCATCAGTTGACATTTTTATTTTTTTTTTTAGTTTTTATGTGGTAGGTCTCATGTAGAAAAAATTGTTTAAATAAACAGAAATGATTAAAGAAGTAACATGAAATTCATCAAAATTTGTACTTAATAGTGGTAAAAAAGTTGAAAATTTGAACGTAGTAGTTTTTATATGTACAATAAACGAATGTATTTTTAACAGACGTCAAAAAGAGGAAGCTGTATAAAAATATATAACTCGAATAATTACGTATTTTTTTCAAAAGTGTTCTATGTATAGAACATAAGATTTACAAACATTTTGGCTGTTTAAATACCGAAACATTTCATGCGGAGATTAATGAAATTGAATACAGTTCAAACATTGCATTTGGGTATACATACGATGATGATGTAAATTAAAATATGTTTTGGGAAATGAAGCGGAAAAAAATGTCATTTGTTTGCCAATATAATATTTATTTTTGTAAATTTGGTGTTTCAGGTCGAATTAATTAATAAATTAAAAATATTAATTCGGATTTCAACTCGTGAATTTTCATTTCGAGAACGGTGTCATGTACGTTGCAGCGTTTTATTAATCTACCTGGGCATTTTAGTTGCGGGAATCCAACACAAGTGCGGATTTTTTTATTGAAAATGTATTCAACGTCCATCCGATCAATACGGTGACGGTAAGTAAATAACAACCGATTTTAATAATTTTGACAAAAATACGAATAAAATCGCAATAATATCGAAACAAAAAATCTAACCGTTATATTATGTGCAGTGGCACACAAATAGATGGGCAGTATTATGCGACACAGCGGTCTAGTAACTCTATAAACATATTGAAAATGTAATTTCTAATAAACCGACAAAAACGTATAAGGTATTTAACTATATAATTTCTTTTTATCTTTTCGGAAACGTCCAAAACAAATAAACAGTTGTAACATTATATTTTACGAGTAAGTGTACTATTTTGTGTAATTTAATTTGTGTACCAAGTGTATTTCATTTTCGAGATTGATAAAAATGAAAAAGTTCCCATATTGAGTTAAAAAAAGCGAATTTTCTAGTGCCCTACACTTATATATAAAAAAAAAAAAGTATTCGTAAAAAATAGCGATTATTATTGGGTCATTCGTTCTTTTTAGAAATGAATTTAAAACTACTCGCCGCATTGAAAGTTATAAGAGTTCTCTGATCGCTGGCTATTTCGGATTCGAGTATTGGGCTAAGTAGGTAACACCGGAGTACGAAAATATAAAAAAATAAAAAATACAATACTAACGCCCTGCGTGCGTTATTTTTTTTTCATACGAATTTTCGGACTACAATGACGCGCGTTTCGTTAAGTTACGCCGCCGCGGAAAACCGTATTTCGGACATTATTCGGACCGCGGTCCCGCGGGGGCTCACACTCGGCACAAAAATTTAAATAAACGTATACCTATACGCTTTATATTCATATACTGTTTTGTTATTGGCTTTGCCGCGATAATATTGCGTTATTTGTTTGCGGCTTTCGCGGCTTTCTGTATGTATGTGTAGGTATTGTACTTTTATTATATCGAAATTATATTATTTGATTGGGTGTATTATAATGCACCGTTTGACGGCCGCGCAGAGGATTGTAATTCCCGGGGTACGGGCGCACGCGTCTCCCGGGACATAAATACTGCGAAATTCGCGTCGAAAATACGAAAAACGAACAAATTTCGGCGACCGATGTCGATAAACCGAAAAAAAAAAACCAAAACCGACCTAGGATAATGGGGACGGGTGCAACCTGCACTGTTATTATTACTTTGATATGTGTGTGTGTGTGTGTGTGTGTGTATCTGTTAGCAACGATTAATCATTGCTAACGAAAAACCGATTCTGAGCGGAGTTCAGTTGATACTATGGAAATGATGTTAATGATGTTGATTGGGCGATGAAAGCTTCTACAAATGCATAGTCCAGAAATTTGTTTATACGTTAAACAAAAATTGTGATTATTGGTATGCGTCTTTCAACATGGTATATCGAAAATTGGTAAAAATTGAAGTGACCTGGACGTATACATATATATATATATATATTTGTCCGGTACGAATTTTCGAGCCACTCCGCCCCTGCGTTAATAAAAAACTAGTACTCGCGTATACTTAATATCCGTGTTCGCGTGCTTTGGTGTTATTCACGCAATGAAACTACGTGAAAAATAACGCGAAATACGTGTGCGCGTGAATAATTACGCTTGTACACGGATCGATTAAGTATATCGTTTTATAGATTTGAATGTTAATTTAACGTGAATACGTGTACACGTGATATAAGGAGCCCCGACAGACTAATATCGACGCAATATATTAAATTTGAAAATTAATGAACGCAAAATTACTGAGATTTATCATACCGAACACGAACAATAAGATTATATACCACGTGAGTTCAACGCACTCGAATTATTCGTCGTTGTTGTAATACAGTACAAGTACATAATATCTGTGTTTAAATACGAGATAAAAAAAAAAAAAAAAAAAAACTAGAAGGCACGTTATGTACCTATGACAGCATTACAATAGGAATTAAATACAATTGACGAAATCGTAACTTTTCTTTATCTATAGCAAAAAGACGCAAGATAAAGTATAAACCTCATACATTTTCCCGTTTGTTCCCATTTATTATGGGAACCCCTGGGTAAATCAAAAAAATGACAATCTCAAAGTACCATCCCAGTCAGATTTTCTTTCGGAAAAAATGTTACGCTTGAAAATGGGAGCGAAATTTCTGATAGAAATGTTGTTTACAGAAAAACCAATACATAATTCCTAGCTCCGTTCAGAATCCAAAAACATAATTTGATTATCTTTATTATCTCCGTAGATATTATAGTGGGGATATAATTGTGGGACACCCTGTATACCCACCATACATACATATAATATTTTATAGATATGATGTCTGTCTGCACTATGATATTATTTTATAGAGAACGTAAAATTCATATCGAAATAAATTAATCGCAATTACTAGTTGTGGTTTTTCGATTAAAATTGTAATATTAGAGCAGATTGGGTTATAAACTGCGCAAAAAAATATTTCGATTATTATTTTTTATTTAGTCTTCACGCGTTATACGCGTACCTATAAATTATAACGCGACGCGATGATCGATAATTCAATCTCCCGCTTTTACAAAATCCTAAACACCCTCTCACAAAGGCTACAATGTATATTCACGAAATAATATTCCCGGAACTCGGTACGGGTATGAAATAATTAAAAATCGGTTTTTATTAAAAAAACGCCCGCGTTTGTTAATTTCACTCTGTTTTCGGCACGTTCTTTTGGTGTACGAATAATATTATACAGTTCCTCGAACGCGTCTTGAGAAAAGCACTGCGGAAAACCCGAAAAATTCTCTCTCTTTCAAGTGCCCGTCCGTGCAGTTTTCTCTCGCGCCTCTCTCCGCGGAGAGGGTCGGGTAAGACTGTAGTGCAGGTGTAGAGTCTAGTGTAAAGCCGACGGGTAAAACTTTTCGCGTTTTTCGACCGCGCCGAAAAGAAAGGAAAACCCGCGCTAAAATCAAACCGCAACCGTTCGGCGCGGAATCAACGAGAAAATTCCCGATAAGAATTCGGCTATCGGAGGCACGTACGCCTGTTTAACATCGGCCGAAAATACCCGCGTGACGTATAGATTTGATAAATCTAATGCGTATTTCGTCGCACATCGTCCGGACAAACGGTTTATTTTTTTTTATTTTTTATTTTTTTTTTTTTTTCGGACGTTTCGATCCGGCGGCCGGGCGATTCGCGAGAAATGCGATTTTGCAAACGGTCCAGACGCGTGTTGCACGCGCGGTTTTTCAAACAACATCACTAACGTAATTTCCCGTCCGGTCGACGCGCGTTTACAAATTAAACTAACGACCCGCGCGCCGGACCGTACGCTACCCACATTGTAACGCGTTGACAAATTATAAATACGATAAACGCCAACCGGACAATTCGCCGCGCGGTCACAACGTTACACCGGGCACGCGTCAATGCTGTTGCGCAACGGCCGGCAGACGCGCAGACAATGCCGAAAACTTGCCCCGGTCGAATCCGCGCGCGAATCCGTTCCGTTCTTTCGGCCGCGTTTATTCCGGCGCGCGGCGAAAATCGCGGCACGCGCCCGAAACGGCTCGTAACGTCCGAGCGCCGTCCAACGCGGCACCTGAAAACCGATTCCGGCGGCGCTAACAAACGATAGCGGGGCCATCGCCGGCGCAATTCCCAACCCGGTCGCGGGGTGGTGGCCGGTGGACAGTTTTCGTAAATACCGTAGAAAGTGGTTACGAACCTGCGGGTCGAGATGTATTATCAAGGGGAGGGGAATTAGAAAAAAAAAAATCCGTTACAAGTATTGTACTATTACACCGGCTTACGTTCCAATAAGACAATTAATAAATAATCGGTAGATCAAATCACAGACATTGATAACAAACAAATTATTATATTAGTTCATAATAACAGCATGATAATGTATGCGTTTATATGTAGGTACTCTTCTTGGCTTCAAATCCGTTTCATTCAGTCCTCTGGTTTGGACCTGTCGGCCACCGTCCACACATTTCTACGTAAACCCATTACCCAATCCGATTAATCGGTTCTAACGAGCAAACCATTTTAGTTATTCGATAAGCAATGCGTGTATTTAATATCCTAAGTTTTAATTATAAATATGCCTCTAACATCGTATTCGGCAAGTAATTTTCAATAGAGTTACTTTAGTTACTAATCAAACCATTTATCCGGGGGGGGGGGGAGGAAGAATCCCGATTTCCATTAGAAATCATCAAACCGTTACAATAAATTTTGTTCAATTTAAAATAATTATAAACCATTACAAACTGGATTTATTGTAAAATATAAACCATAGTTAGTTTACGTTTAAAACGAAAATTGTAATTTTCTATGGTATTATCCAAGTTCGTTAAAATCTAAGGGAGAAGTACCATTCTGCCCGTCCACATCTCGCGGGAGCCAATGCTACCAATAAAGTTTTAATTTTTGTTCAAATGTAATCAAAAACATTTAAATTTGTATTTATAATGTATTTGCACTACAAATTTAATTTCAACTTATTTCATAATTTATTATAAAAAAAAAAAAAAGAAAAAAATCAAGGGGAAAATTTAACACCCATACACCCCCCTCCCCCCCCGGTAATATGCTACTGACAGTGGCACCCAGCAATATATTATGATTTATGATTTATAATGAGCATAAGGATAAATTTGAAATATCCAGTGTGTTATCGGGATTTCCAAAAAGCATTTTCTGTCGGAATAGACAATCTGTTATCTGCCAATACGACAAACAGGGCCGAATTAGGCCGGCGTGCGATTATGTGCTTAGCGCGAGAGGCCATCAGCTTAGTTATGAAATTGGACTGGTACTGGTACGATAATATTTGCGTCATGTTTTACAATATCAAACAGATGTTATAAAAATAAAAAGTGAAAATAGTCTTCGGCCATCATAATACGATATGATAAAAAAGAGTGCTCACTGAGATTAATAAAAATGTTATAAAAGTATTTTTTCAAATTTTAACCAAACAAGGTTATTTAAATTCGTGTACTATATTAGATACATTGTATATAAGTACGTGTTCAATAACTTCAAAGCGATGTACTAAAACCGAGAGCTTCCCCCTCTGAACGGCTCTGAATTATAGTACCCCTAGTGGCGTAATCGTAGGCTTTAATTTCAGTAAAATGTATTAAAACTTGCAATTTAGGTGACAGACTTTAGGTTAAATATAGTTTTAAAAACCTGACCCTGACCCAAAAATTTCAACTGAGGCTTGATGATACGCCAAGTACAACCCTCTATAAATAAATCGTAAATTCGGCCGATTGGATATTGAGCGCCGACGGGCTAATATAATAATATAGTAGAGACGACGGTGAGAATGCCGCTCATTTTGTTTTCGATATGCTTTTCTTTGGCTTGCTTTAAGTCGTGCCATCTTACGTGGAATCTTGCAAACCATTTTTGATCCACTTCCATGGTCCAATCTAAATGCAATTTTGCATACACTCGTATTTTCAATGAAAATACAATAATCAATAATCAGATTTTCCGTCTACACTCCCATTTTCAAAGGGCGTCGATAAAGGCATGAGGGTTTCAACACGTGATTATACGTGTTATATTCACCATTGGAGGATATTCCAAGGCGAATATCCTTGAAACAGCAACGTTAATGGCAAAACGCTTTAACATAATCTATTACTTTGAAATGCATGAAGTTATAAAGTGATTATTTATGGGTACACGCGCCACGTTTTTCTTTCAGTTAACGCAAAAAATGTTGACAGTCATATATTATAAATTAATGAAATTTGTATTTTCGAAAGTATATTTTTTAGATTTTGAGTGTAGCGAAGAATGTATTGGTTTTACAAACATTTTTTTTTTCTGCGGACAACTTTTCTACCAGAAATATTGTTCCGATTTACAAGTGTAGCACTTTTTCTGAAAAGAAATCTGAGTGAGGTGGTACTATAAACAGGTCATTATTTGATTTTCTCAGAATTTCCCTCAGTATAATGGAAAAATCGAAAAAAAAAAACGAAGGCAAAACTGGAGAACGGGAAAATAGGTACAATATATTAAATAAATATCATTAAAGAAAATGTTTAATGCATATGTAATTATTTGACATATTATTTAGTAACACTATCAACTGAACTCCGCTCAGAATCGCTTTTTCGTTAGCGATGGTTTATCGTCACTTTAACAGATATATACATTAAATTTCAGTTTGTATCCTACCTACCTACCCTACAACTTCCCACCTACAACAGTGGATGTACCCACGTGCGAACTATGTCCGTCTTATTTACTTTGTAGTACAAATTTTTTTTATACACCAAATATTATACGCTAATTATTTCATATCGCCCCGTGGCTGTTCTTATAAATCATAATTGCATGGCTTTATTCATAGTAACTAAAGCGTATCAGTAGCGATGATGACCGTCTACTGCGTTTTACGCTAAAAATATAATCGGAATTTTCATTATTTTGTGCGTCTGTCATTTCCAGCGATTAATCGAAACCGATTGACATTATTATTGGAATTATTTGGAAATTATTATTGAAAACCGACGATTTTCGAAAACCCACTATTTGCCTTTACACGGAATCACCATCCGAATCACTTTTTTATGTTATAAAAATATCTCCCGTGGGCCATTTTCCGTTGTGACTCTGTGCGTGTGTATACTCTGTTTATTTGTATAACATTTCCACTATTTTCATTGCAATAATATTACTATACCGGAAAAAAAGGATTTTGTTATTTACGTTTCGACGCTCTCTTTTCAAAATTAATACCGGGTTCACGTTTCATCACATTATATTTCAGAGAATATAAACAATTTGAACAAATGGTAAACAAAATAATATGCGCCTGCGGAGGGACGCAAAAAAAGAAACAAACTATGTAAAAAATGTGTTTAAAAAAAAAAAATAATAAATAAAAATAATCGTAACAGAGACGCAGAGAGTTTTTCTGGCGCCTAAACTGAACTTTTCCAGTTAGGACCTAAAAACGTCCTAAACAAACGTTTGAAAATTACATTCCGGACTCTTGCGGACGAGGAACTAGGAGAAACAATTCTTAAACACAACGCTTATATATTTCGAAGGGTATTTTGTTTGCGCAGCGAACGTATATAATTGTGTGGCAATTGTTTTCCTCTAACCAAAGGGTCAAAATTTGTTTGTAATATTTTTAACCGTGTACAGGAAAATCAACCGTCGATAAGAAACTCCGTGACTTCGAAAAGTATGAACTGTTTTTCGAAAAATAACGTTTTTCGACAATTATTGAACGAACAGTTTCAATAATTCCCATTATTTTTGTCAATCTTATTTCCTTATTTTCAAGTGCAGTGAAACCACTACTCGCTTTTGATTTTCGAATAGCAACAAAAATGCAATAAATAGATGAATGTTTACATTATTCAGTTTAAATACATTTCGGTGTTCGAATTTGTAAACTACGCCGGTAATGAGGTATTCCACTATTAAGTTTGGGTAGGGGGAAAGTAGTATAACACTATGTCACTATATTCAAACCACTGCCCCAGCGCCGTCACACAAATGATATTCCACTACTCTCCCTCTATACCGAAACTTCACCGTCGAATAACTCGTCAACGCGTTAGCGGAAATTAAAAATGTCGACGCTAAAAAATTTATTTTAACTAAAACTTCGTCTATATATGGCATTTTTAATATAGGTTGCTATATTTGAAAGTCAAAAGAGTGAGTATCGATTTCAACTTCGAGAAAAAGACCAACAAAAAAATAACAGAAAGTATATTTTAATAAATATTATACAGGTCCGAAAAACAAAATTCCTGTAATATTTAATGCGTTATCGATTGAACTGTGACCTCTGTTAATAATGTTTTAATAATAATATAATTTAACATTTCGTTTTTTTTTTTTTATTATTATTATTATTATTTATTCTATAGATTTTACTCGTGGAAAAATAATAACCGACCCGGAAATCTTGTATAATAAACCCATACGTTACTGCTGTTAATAAAACACGGTTTTTTATATTATTTATTATCGACAATGAGATAAAATTCACATACATTTCACGGGCCCCAATAGTGTTTCACAATAATACAATCATTTATTACGGCCGACCACATTATAATGAAATAGCATATTCGTAATATTGCACTTTTAATTACTGTCGGGTATCGATAAAAAAAAAAAAACGAAATCAACAGCACTTGTTATAATAATGAGTCGAACAGATTATTTCTGTGTTCAGTAATCTAGTGTATGTATTATTTTAATGCAATACGCAGCGGCACACATAATTTGGTAATAATATCTAGTGACAAGTGCGAATATAAATTTGTTTTATTTATTTTTTTTTTTTTTTTTTTCTATCGATACCCGAATATTAATAAGTTGACAAATTGTTTTTTTCCGAAATTAATAATGTACACGTTTTACGAAGGATATCGTTTTTTCGGAAATGTTTAGTTTTTGTTTTTTATAACCGGTCAGGACATCAAAAAGCAATCTCGCATACCCCGATCAGTACGTATAATATAATATTATTAATTTTTCAATAGACGGGACTCAAATTTTTTTTTTTTGTTTTTTTTTTTTAACAGTAAAAATCAGTCTAAATAAAAAACAACTAAAATAATAATATTTTCCGAGCAAAAGTCAAATTTAATAATTACGTCGAGTACTGACAAGATATGAGGAGGGGGTAAACAAACACACAACTTCGCATAGTATACAGTGTTAGTTATCACGGTGTCCGATAAGAGTTATTTACAAGTGTGTGAACTGGTAGCGGCAGTTTTGAAATGTAAGACATACAGCTAATAGAGCAGGTATTAAAAATTTAAAATTTACGCTAAAAATATCATGTACTTTGTGTAACCGTTTCCTGCGGGAACTGTGCACTTATCATATTGTTAAATTTTAGTTTTATAGTCAGCTATTCGTGTACGTCAAGGCCAGTGGCGTAGCCTGAGGAAGGCACGGTGGCCGTGGCCATTGAACATATTTTTTAGCGTTTCTATTACAATTGTGAATAATATTTATATTACCTACTTTATGGTTTGTGTAGTTTATTTTCATATTTCGTCGACAAAATAAGAACTGTGTTTTTAAATGCAAATAAGGAAGTTAACGGTAACAGAAAAAAAAAGGGCAACTTTGGAATTTTCTTTTTTGTTCGGCCCTCTCCTTTATCAGGATAAATCCTGATTATGCCTAAGATAAACTCAGCGGTGCCTCGTCAGATGATTGGCAAGTGACGAGAAGCTTCATTCATAAAATTGACTAACTACAACAAATACATTCAATTTATTATGAACGCCATATTTTTATTGATTTCGTTAAATACATGTATTAAATCAAAATATGTTTTTTTTTTTTTTTGACATTTTCAAATTTCGATGACTAAAGCCTAAAATTAACAAACACCTAATAACTAACGATAACAGCACCTCGTGTTCTATTTCTAATATATTTGTCTCTCCGTGTTTTCAAATGAATTTTCAAAATATTCGCCTCACCACTTACACACAGGTCACGAGCGTCCACTAGTTTGGCCTATATTATGAAGTCTGAGACCAGTAAATTTTCTCGATTCTATTAAATATGTATTGTCACTGTGGTTTCGCGTTTAGTTTACGATCTACGTAACATTTGAACCGTTGTGAATATTTCATATTTACGCCTTTATAGAGGACGTCACACCGGCATCTCCTGCCTCCGTCTTATAAACGCAAGACATAGCGAATTTGCGCTCAATAGGACAAATATGTCGTTTCGTTAGTTTTAATATTAAAGCGAATTGGCCTATTATCAAACTTGAAGTTAAGAATATTGTACAATGTGCCCTGGCGTTGATGTTTTTTCGATATTTTAATTTTTAAGCAAGACGTAATCGTTTTTTAATTCGGCTGTTTTCCATACGCATATCTCATTTAAAAATTAAAACATCGACACTAGAGCACAAATATAATTATGTACTTAAAGTTTGTTAACAGTTCGATTCGCTTTAATATTAAAACTAACGGCAAGACAACATATTTTTTCCTACTGAACGAAAATTTGCCAAATGTCGCGCATTTGCGAGACGGAGACACGGGATAATTAATGCGGGTGTGGCGTCCTCTTAACGAAATCGTGTCGAGTATTCGAATAGGTATAAAATATGTATATTACGTATTCGTACACTTAATATTTTCAACGGTGTAAAATTATTTTGAATAACTCGTACACGATATTTTAAACGGATACGATAATTTAAAATAAGTATCGATTCACCGCAAAACCGTCCGAACAATACGGTATAATATTTCGTTTAACAAAATATGCGTCGTGTACCTCTATTATGTTATATACGAGTAGATACCTATAATGTACGTTATCCGTTTATTCCGCTCCGAGTAATGTTTTAATATTTTTTTTAAAAAACATACATACATATATGTAAGTACGTACATACAAGTCCGCGCTGTATTATGAAGTGAAAATGAGCGTTAAATGAAACACGTATAGGTTTTTTTTTTTTGTACTCGTGTGCATATTGAATACTTGTATACTTACGGGTGTATCGTATATCGTAATTACAACGCGCGCGGTGGTGTAGTTTTCTAACACCGCCTAAACTCATTAATGAGAATAATAACTGCGCGCAAATTATTTTTGCGTTAAAGCATTTTTTATTTTTTTTTTATTTTTATTTTTTTTTTTTTGTTTTTTCGTACGTACCAGGTTATATATATACATATATATAGGAACATACGGCGAGTACGTATTATTGTTATTATTATACACGCATACAGTACTTACATACCTACGTAAACGACAACTAATATACAGCGCGTACGCCTATGTACAGTGTGATTATTTTATCGTCGAACGCTCGTTATTTGTCGAAAATTAAATAGTGGCTCTTTTGCTAAACGAAATTCCGTTGTATAATTCACCATACGGCTCTAAAACGTTACGTCGTCATTATTTTTCGTCGTCCTTGTTTTCGCGATTGAAACGACTGGCTATACATTTCAAACGGCCAACTGTGTTTAAAAAGACGCACATACTTCGCACGATGGGTGCAAACCACTGTTGTTGGTGAGTAGTTGGAAAGGTAAGATATAAAAGGGAAATTGATTTGTATCTGTAAGCAACGATAAACCATTGCTTACTAAAAACGATTCTGAGCGGAGTTCAGTTGATAGTGATGCTCTGTTAACAATATGTATGTCCTATTCATATATTACGGTAAAATAATTAAATAGGCATTATATATTTTTTTCGATAATACTTGTTTAATATTGTACCGATTTCCCCGGTTTTTCTACGTTTTTCCCGGTTTTCCCATGTTTTCTCGGTTTTTAACATTTGCTGGGAAAACTCCTGGGAAAATCAAAAATACCAAATTAAACACTTATAGATTATTAATAGTTAATAAAACAAAAAGAAATCTTTGCAAAACGCGTGGCAGTTAATCATTGTTTTCATTAAATCGTTGATACTATTTATCAGGGGCAATTTAATAATTGAATAATTTTTGTTTATCGACAGCATAGCCAGGCCGCAATAATACCGCATTTTTTTTTTATCGTTGATAAAATACGTACACAAGGTACACCCGAACATTAATAATTGATACTTGAATAGTTTTGGTTTTGAAATCTTGTTGAATTGTTTACAGTAAAATAACTAGGCGCAGGCATAAAAAATGGTTGTAGATTCGTATTTTTACGATCAAAATAGGAATGCATTTGAGCATTTAATAGTTAAAAACATTGCACACTTAATAATTCAAATATAATTATTTAATAATTATGTATTGTATTGATTTACTTCAAGTTCTGAGTACGACTTCAGAGAGTAACATTGTAACAATTGAACAATAAATACCTATAATATAATACTTATTCAAGTTGGTTTTTATTTATTTTTTCCTCTAAGGGGGTTGAACACAACCCCCTCCCTTCCCGCCCCTTGTAAATACGCTACTTGCTCTCCCACACTATCCGTCGTCCTACCCGAACCCAAAAAGTGCAGTATCTCGTCGCATTGGTTCGACGGAAATCAAAAATCTCAACACCGAAATATTAACGCGAATACTCGCGCTCCGCGGCTAAGACCTTTTGAAAATCAAAAGCAGACAGCCGTTCTACCCCCAGAAATAAAGGTAATAAAAAAAAAAAAAACAACAATAAAATAAAACGGTTACGCGGCGTTTTAGAGCCGTTTGTATTATTAACCGTTGAAAAAATGTCGATACTTTTCGAAATAATGGGCGTTCAAAAGAATCGCCCTGTATGTACAATAGACACTGCAGGAATAACACTTTGCGTTGCGTTTCTATGCCGAACGATCGAATACCACATAAATAATATTATTAAAAAAAAAACCGTGTGTTCGAATTGTTGTGTTCCGATAGGTATACCCGTTACTATAAACGCGAGTCGTATAATAATAATAATAATAATAATTTCGATGCAATAAAACGTTTAAAAACAAAAAAATAAAATAAAAAGACATCGTTTGTTAATGACCCATTAAATAATAACACAAAACGGCCTCGGAAATAATAATATAATTTGAGCGCGGAATTTCTTGTACGCTCACGTTCATAATAGGTACACGAGTACGGGGAGTTTTTTTTTTTTCCCCCCGACATCTTTTTTTTCCAACGAATTTCCGATACACGTTATAATTATTATCATTATTATTACAATATTGGCTCGATACCGCACGTAAATCTATTAGCTGGCTAATAGACTCGAACGCGGCGTAATTTATCGCGCAATTTAAACGATTCGTACAGTATAACGCGTAATATTATCATAATGTGCGCGCGCATTACACGATGCGCAAACGTGCAGTAATTAACAATAACAGCTGAGGTCGTGTTGAACGGATTAACGTCAGTATTACAAAAAAAAATTTTAAAAAAAAAATGGGATTTTTTAGCAGCGGCTTGCCTGTGGTCATAGGCGCAACTAGACCGCCAACCTTGGGGGTGTTAAAATTATAGACGCATCGCGGACCCGTACAGACAATAGGTACCTTTCACAATCCACTTTACACGATGCTGATAATAAGTAACTGCACATTTTATTTACATTATTTCATATACGATAATTCATGACTTTTTTTTTAACTTGTGAAAAATCGTCTGTGTATAAAAAATAAACTTTCTCTTAACTTTATTTTTTATACACGCACGCATTGTTTGTATAGGTAATTTGTATTTCTTTCTGCTTATTAATTATAAAATACATATGGACAAAATATTTAGTCTACACGATGAAACAATTTATTAGTAAAATTTTGGGGGGGGGGGTGCTAAAGACCCTCCAGCATCCCCCTAGTTGCGCCTATGCCTGTGGGGCCTTTCTCTCGGAGGCGCGATTACGCGGCACAGGATGAGAGGAACGGATCCCGCCGCGTATATCCATTTTCTTTTTATAGTAATCCTACCCTTGTAAAATGGTATACTAGTTTTTATTTTTTCCCAAATAATATATACCGCCGGACGAGAAATCCGCATCGTTTAATCGTTTACGGTACGACGCGAATAATTTTAAAAACATTATTACTAACCGAAAAACTATTTTGCGAGGGGAAAAAAACCGAATAAAAGACCCACGAAAATGAACCGTTGAAAAGGAAAAAAGCGTCTCAAAGGGAATACCGCTGCCGGTAAAAATTTCACGTCTTTTATAAAGTACCGCGTGAAATAATTGGAATATTTCACTTACCTATACCGAAAAGGTGTTTTTAAAATTGAAATAAAAAATGTAATTGTTTAGTAAAAGTATGGGGAATTTCGAAAAATGGCTAAAATTAAATACCGTAAGTGGAAAAATTCGCATTTTTCAATACAGATACGGTATGAAAAAATAGGGTCAATTTTTTTATTCGAAAAATTTGTTTTTTAATAAAAAAAGAAAACACATCGTCGTAAAACTATGGTAGCTTCTTCGCTACACTCGGAATGTAAAACATAAATCTGTAACGGGGGTAGAAGTAGGGTCACACGACGGTAAACGTCAATAATACAACGTCTAACAAATTATCAATCTCCTCCCCTACTAGAACAAAATCGTAACTACGTCACTGGTTTCTTTGGGGGAGGAGTTGATCTGAATACTTGTTAAACATAATATCAAAAGAAAAAAAAAAACATAACTATTAATAATAATACACACTGTATCACACAATTGTATTAACATTTAACACTAATAATAAACGAACAAATATTGACACATCATGCACGTGTTTCACACTTGATATTTTGCATTTGGTATTGTTTTTAACAAATCGTTACTAAATAGAAAAGAGTTTCCAGACCACTTTGCTGGGTGATTCGTATCAACCACATCACACCCTTGACTGTGCCACTGGATTTCAGCGTTTTTTTTTTAGCTAAAGCGTTGAATGTATCGGCGTTTTATTATGACGTGTGCTTTTTTAACGGAGAACTCTTTTTCGGTCACAATAAAATGTTCCGATATTTTGTTCACGCTGTCCATTAAACATTGTGGGATTTCAGCAAGTAAACAATTTTTTTTTAGATTTTCAACAGTTCACCCCTTATAAATCCTTTTTATTTTCTTTTTTTTTTTTATCGGGAGTCTCGGAAGAAAAGATACATATTTAAAATGTGCAGTCTTGATTTTTGACAGTTTTTCCTTAAATATTAAAAAATAAACTGACAACAATGACGATACATCGGTTTTATTTTTGTTGATTTCTATGTTACTTTTTGGCTACAATGATAAAAAAAAAAAAAAAATAATACCACTACAACTAGTTTGCGTAAAATTTATCATTTAAAATCTGAAAGTCGTTTGCGCGCGGAACATTTTTGAAGAAACCACTCGATTGCGCCCAAAATATTACAAAACATACGACTGATACTATTATAGCGTTGCCAACACAGAAGCGTATAGCCAGAAATGTTATTCTTGGTAAGCCAGATAGAATAATATAAATGTTTGAACAGGAAAGACCACTATAATAAAAATGTTCGTGTTAAAATTGTGTTAATTTCCCGAGAAAATAGGCTAGGCCCGGGCCTACCAGACATACCCGCTAGTTACGCCACTGCTTCCTAGTTTACCAAGCTCGACTCAAAATCGATTTTTGATTGCAATGATTTATCATCGTTGCTCTCGGCACACCAACTGTATTATACACTATTTCCAATATACCTTCCCAACATCTTATCTACAACAGTGGCTTGGCATGGTGCAAATTACATACTATGTGTACGGATTTATTTTTTTTTTTTTTTTTTAATAATAATATGTGTGAGGCGTAAAATGTACGGGAAACCGAATGGGAGGCGTGGGGTAAAATCGTTCGTTCAATACATTTAATACAGATGAAGGAGATTGGAAGCTGTGATTTTCTGCCTTTACAATACGTATTATATGATGTCTGTGCTGTGAAATCACCCACCTCCCCCACTTTCTCCATATTTTCGCAACATAGTAGATTTTACGATTGTATACGGGTACTACACAAACATCTGCCCCCATAAATGATATTCAATGAACCGACAAGAGCGATTTCGAATTACCTATATTATGTTGTCAGCTAAGCCGAACTAAAATATAGTACCTAAGTAAATCGACAAACGATTTTCTCGAAATCCAATTCCTAATACTTAATTGCATCAATGAAAAAATTACATATACACGCACGCCTGACATTAAAATAAACGTTTTACATGTGTTTAGATTCTGAGCGGAGCGAAGACGCTTACGGTTTTACAAAGATGTTTATTTTTTATCTGTGGACAACTTTTCTACCAGAAATCTCGCTCCGATTTTTTACTGTAGCACCTTTTCTGAAAAGAAATGGACTGGTGAGGTACTTTAAAGAGGTTATTCCTTTTGATTTTCTCAGGAGTTTTCTCAACAAATGAAAAAAACGGAAATAAAACGGAGGAATGTACGAAATATACTTGTATTAGTAAAATAATAAGGTCTTTTTTTTCTACGGACAACTTTTCTACCGGCAATAATTTTGATCCGATTTACGATGATAGCACTTTTTCTAAAAGGAAATCTGACTGGAGAGGTACTTTAGAGAGGTCATTTTTTTAATTTGCTCACTAGTTTTCCTAACAAATGGGAAAAACACGGGAAAATAGGTACAATATTAAACAAATATTAACAAAAAAACTATATATAATGCCTTTGTAATTATTTACCCTAATATGGCACATACATGTTGTTGACAAAGCAACTATACTGTCGACTGAACTCCGCTCGTTATTTCGTTAGCAACGGTTTATCGTTGCCGATTTTTTTAATTTTTTTTCTATTAACAATGCGCGTCAATAGCGTATTCGGCACCGATTCGAAGTAGACCAAAACAATCGCTAGTCAGTGCTCCGAAAAACGACTAGTCATTTGTATACCTGTATCAATTGCTTGTATAATTATCAATATCGATATCGATTTTACGCCAATATTCAATAATATCAAACCAGACATAATACATATAAGAAACGTTCGGACACCAATAATAACCGGGCGCCTAATCAATACGACGTGCGATAAAATAATGGATCTAAAAACAACGGACGATAAAAAAAAAAACTAATGACCCCGGCGGCCATAACACATTTTTCTATAATTGCGATTTTATAAACGCGGTTTTCATTATTATTATTTTTATTTTTATTTTTTTTTTTTTTTTTTTTTTCCATAAATGTTCGAATTTATACGTCGGCGCCCCGATTATGCGGACTGTGTATCGCGGGTCTCGACCTATATTCGATAATATAGCTTTTCGCTGTTAGACTGAAATTCCTCGGCCTTTTCGCATCGAATTCGATCGGGAAACCGACAGCGTTAAATATTCCGGCCGGTAATATCGACTATCCAGTTCAAGACTACTGCAAAAACTGGAAAATAATCAAAAACGAGTTAATTACACCATTTTTTTTTTCTCTTGTTTTCAAAACGATTTCACATCGAGAACGCAATAAAAAACTAGTCGAATTATTGAACACTAAAGAGCCCGTATTTCGTTTTAGAATAACAAACTTGCAGGATCAACATCATATCCAGTTAAAGTGGATCAGTTATAGACTTATTGCGATCAATGCATGCATTTATATAATACGTATAATTAGCAAGGTCGGGTTGTACGAGGTTATACCGAGAATATTATTCATGCCTAATTTATTTCGTGTTTTGTATTTGACTAAATAGGTATTCGTTAGATGTTTAAATCGCTCTGAGAAAAATCCTTTTTTCGAGTTGTCGCGTTCTCAAACTGGATACGACGTCGTACTGTTGTCGTCGAACGCGTAAAACTACCTGCGTCGTCGTCCAGAACGTTTTGGATCCGTGAGGTACCAAAAACGATCTGAAAATAGAATATTCGGGTCCCCGGTCGATATTCTCACCGATATTCGCCGCCTCGTATACATTAGTATCGCCGTCGAGTCGCTATATTATTACGTCGGCCCGTACACTCGACGGAAAAATCCGAACGCGGTGACGAGGTACCGATTACGTTTTCCATCACGCCTATTAATAAGGCGATAACGAAATAACCTGTGGGTTGTAAAAAATACATTTGGACGAAAAATGCGATCAAGTGCCGTACGCGTCGCACGTCGAAATGTAATAAAATTGCATTGTGTAATATTTGTATATTTTATGCGCTACGTTTAAAAGTGGTTTTTGTTCTTTCTTTATTTATTTATTTATTTAACCGTACAATACGCAGTACGATATGTCAACGCTTGAGTATATTACATGTATATATATATACGATACTTAACGGTTGAAATTAGTATCGCGGACTGTTTAGTGAAATCGCATCTGGTTATTTTATTTCCGTCGGTATTCTACTCTCGAGTATGCATAAAAGTCCGAGGAGAACAAAAAAAACCGACGGAAAAAAAGATCAGTGGTGAAATAAATCCGATAAAAGAAAAAACCGACAAAATAAAAGTCCGCAAAAGAAAACCTGATGAAATAAAAGTCCCGATTTATTTTATTTTTTATGGCCACTTAGGGGACTTTTATTTTTTTTCCAATAGACGCGCTGTAGTAGAAACCTTTCTTTTTTCTTTTTTTTTTTTTCCTACTCTTGTCCGAAATAAAAAGGAAATATGCTAATAATTTAAGACAATATTGAAACCTTATCAAACTCAATCAGTAACTGCAGCTTCCATCTGCGTTCGTTGACACTACATTATTATATGTTTATACGTATTAATATTATTTTGAACAATTTTTTTTTTTATTTTCTATTTCATTCGTAGATTATTTTCGTAGTATATAGATACCGAACACGTTATTTTATTTTTCCGGATTCGATCGTTTGGCCAGTCGATCGTATCATAGGAAGCGGTTAAACGGAAGAAAAAGGGGGGGTAAGAGTGGATATATTCGCCGGTATCATTTCCCGAACAATGCATGGCATTTGGGACGAGAAAACGCTATTCAAAATATCAAAAACGTTTAAGACGCTTTTCTTCGTGTTTCCTCATTTATAAGGAACCCACTGTCAGACTGACGATTTTTGCGATATGAAAATCGAATGTCAGACCGCCGAATCAATTTCAATGAGAGAACACACGAAGAAAAGTGGTTTTATACGATTTTCGATTATTTACATTTCATATTCCTATCCCAAAAGCCGCAGATCAACCACTCTGTCTAACTTTATTATTTATGATAATAATATCTATTTTCTATATATTTATAAAAAAAAAAAAATATATAAATTCAAACAATTGTCGAAAATCCAGCGTCCCCAACGGAAAAATAATTTGGCCGCCACTGGCAGACAGGTGTACACGTGACGTCGAGTTCGGAGGGGAGGAACGAAAGAATATTACAGTATAGTGTCTGCGTACGACACTGACGGACGCGGTGGGTGTATAACAGCGATAAAATATAATTTATAGAGTACTAACATTGTCAAAATATCATCCGCGGTTTTCTATTGTCAGTTATCGGGATCGTTGACGCGACACCGGTGTAGTGGATTCGTGCCTAGCAGGCATCCGCCCCCTCGTCAAAATTAACGGCGGCGTTTTTGATTTCTCATTTTCACCGTACGATTATTGTTATTTCCACTGTCATAATCGTTATAGACATATTATTATTATTATAAGCGTTCCCGCAGAAAACTATTGTTTTTGTTTTTTTTATTAGATCTTTTATTACAATAAATTATCGCTGTAGTTTTGTACCGCGCGCGTTTCTGCACTTAATTATTGTGCATGTGGTTTTCGTGAAAAAGAACCCGCGACCCCCCCCCCCTCCTCTCGACCGTTTTCGAGACATTTAACGCGCCAGTGGCGGCGCGCGGCGTTTCGGTTTCGCATTATTCTCGTCAATTGTTTATTATATTAGTAATGTTATGAAGCAGTGGCGTAGCGAAGGGGTTTTCAATGCGTCGTCCAGTATTCGTGGTTGACGTTGCCGGACGGATGGCCGGTGAAAATACCGTCGACAATTGACGTTCGCCGTTTACCTATAGTAATGATCCGTAACAACAAATGGATTAACGCTATTCGCCGATAGTGTGCAACTATCAGTTATTATTATGCATAGACAAAATATGCACACAAGGGCTATGAACCGTACAATAATTAATAGGCGTCGTCGTTATTGGCCGTTAAATTGAATCAGCCTAAATCTCTGAAACGGACTTTTAACCGGACCATTGGCATTAAAATTTGATTTCTTCCGATTTCCAACAGTACTAGGCGCGTGGTGAAGAATTAGGCGGCGGGGCGTTTTGTCAAATTGCGATCGTCGCTTTATCGAACACATTTACCTACGGGTTTTTTTTTTTCTCCTTGTCGATCGACTCGAGGACATTCGTCCAAATGGATAACAAAAGAAGAAAAAATACATTGGGGATATTTTACGAAAGAGTCGGGATGGTTGTTCGAATATATTACTTTGTGAATCATTGGGCATTAACGGTCACCGCGGCGCAGCTCGACACTGTTACGAAAAGTTGTTTATTTCAACCTAAATTACATAATAATATGTTGACGACGTCACTTTATAGGACTGCAGAACGGGCTAAAAGTCATTCAATATGTTAATAAAATTGTATTGTGAAGAGTATTTTCCATTTGGACCGAGAAGATGTTGGCCATGCGACGGAAAACAAATCGAATCAACCGCAGTTATAAAAACTGTTTCGGCCATTTATGGGTACTTACGTCACAAACGAAACTGAACGAGAAAAACATCATAAAACAGTGGGTTTCATATTAGTCAATCATTCCGCGTAACATTGTTACCTGTCGATTTGAGACAGATAAATAAACCGCTCGAAATAAATTTTGAATGGATTTTTTCCGGAATATTTCCGGCGATGAACGGAACTTCGAGAGCTTAGACAATATAATTATCCGAACAGCGTACACCACTATGTACGTCCGGTATTCAATTACTTTTATATCTATCGAACAATATTTGGATCAATATGGACATTTTTACTGCTCCGAAAATAGTGGTTCTAATCAGGCCCGGAGATAGTAGTGGGGCAGAAGTACATGAGGGGACAACCCCACAAACTTGTAAATTTAGACGACTGAGTCGGCAGCGATTTAACGGTAGTTCACAGTCGACAAAATCCATCGTTTTATTTCGCCGTTTTGTTGGTAATTATTGTTGCGCCGTATCGCTGTATTAATATTATATCGTAAAATGTACCTGCAGTATTGTTTATTATTATTATTATTTATCAAACGACAAAATAACGGGTACCTGATTCCTGATAACATTTTTGGAATTTGGTAAATTAGGTTTTTGTTATCGCCGCCTCTGATTCTGGCTGACTGTTCCGATGATAGACAAAAACAGATTATAAACCTCGAGGCACGATACAGAGAAGATAAGGTGATGACAGCCGGCTCGACAGACAATTCGGTTGAGTTTTTATAATATTACAAGGGACACAAGTTTTTCTTAAGTCTCAAGTCCATTTTATTTTATTTTTCCCACTCGGGCACTGTATGCACATAATAATATAAATATCTATAGCTGCCTACTTAATATAATTTAAACAAAAAACAAAATAACGCGCGAATTTTTTATCGGTTCTAAATCAAAAGTTTCATAATTAAAAAGTTCAACGGCTATGTATTGGTTTACGTTTACTTTTTGTTGCTTTTAAATTAAAACTCCGGGTACCTTTTTCTTTCTTATTATACGGTCCCCGCGCTTATACCGCGAGCAACACAATAATACACAACAACAATAATAATCATTATAATATACTAAAAAAAAAAAAGAAAAAAAATCAACATCTACATAATATTATATTAGTTATTTGTAATTTTACATTATTTAACTTGTTTTTATCACTTGATAACATATTGCAACAATAACAAAACTAAAAGTAGAAAAACAGAACAGTGAACGAGTATAGCAGACAGTGGCGTATTTAGGCATTTTTCGTGGATGGTGTGCATGATAATTTACCAAATACATTTACACCCTTCAGTTTTACACCGAAATAGAAATTCAATTTGTTACAATGCGTCGAAAAACAAAAAAAAAAAAAAATCCCTATTCGATGTTAATAATTATTTATTTTCGATCACATAAGACAGCATTCATAATACAATATCCAATTTCCTCGGATAATGTAATTCGTAGTAGGCAGTTTTTAGATGATCTTGAAATGTCTATAGAATATTTTTATATTATATAATATATATTTTAATAATATAATAAATACTGATAAACTGACAAACGAAAATAATTGAAGTTTATTACGCATAATTACGTTACGGAGCAGAGATGAGAATGCTTAGATGGCTGAGTGAAATGACAAGATAGGATAAGGAATGAGTACGAGTACATAAAAGGTACCTACCACTTAAGCGTGGCTTCGACAGTTAACCAAATGGGAGAACTTTTACCAGGATAGTTTGGGTATGTCATGAGGAGATAGAAATCTAAAGCCGTTAGAATTGCAAAAGAAATGAACGTAAAAGGAATGCAAGAAGAAGGGGGAGAGGAAGACCGAAAAAGATTTGGATACGATTGAGAATGGTATAAGGACAGCCGATGTATGGGAGGAGGGAGATCGGGTCAAGTGATAGTTTAGAACGAGGGTGGCCGTTTGACCGACCCCGAAAGATGAAAGAGAACGAGAACAGCAACAAAACTAGAATAATAGGTACATATTACACGAATCGCTAAATGCAGAAAGGGCATATTATGTTCAAATTTTAAAATTGTTCAAGAACGACAAAAAAACACCCTAAACACCTTAAGCGGTGATAAAATACCAGCCACTTAATAGAATGACTGTACAGGCGATATCATCCAACAGTTATAACATTAGTTATTAATACGAAATTCCGTACTTAAGTTTTATTTAAATATTAAGTATTTTTGACTTTCTCGAAAAATTAAAAAAATGTTAAGCTTGGCCTACTACCTACGCACCGACTCAGTTGTCCAAAAATGACAATAGTTGACCGAAATTTTAACTATCTCAAAACTAGTTTAAAACAATATACGACAAATTAATGTAACTATATTTTCATGCTCGACTAATTTTATTTTTATTTATACCGCTATAAATAAGTGTACAATATAATTTAGTTTCCAGGTAACACTAAATATTTTGACCGGATGGACCTGGATTTGTTTTCGGGAGGTGATAGGAGGTACAGAAATACATAATTTAGGATAAATGTTAATTTTTAATATTCTTGGTGCGCGCTCGTGCAATATAATGAAATCCGTTTGAACAGCAACACATATTTTTAACGCTAGATTCAAACAACCGTATTATTATTTATTATCTAATTATTCTATTATCATCATAACTATTGCAGCTACTATCACATTCATTTCTAAATGCAATCAATAATAATTGGATATATACTTCCAATTTATTATTACGATTTATGCTACTAACAACTGGATCTGATGATAATAACAATCTTTGAAAAATGTCAGTATTTATATTTATCCTAGATGATATTTAAAACATGGTTTAGTGTGAATTTTTTTTTTTTTTCTTCGATAGGTACATTGGCTACATTGGGTATTCATTAAAATAATTATCATGAATTTGCCTTCGAGTAATTTCAGTCCATTTTTTGTGAAAATAAAAATAGAATTCGTCACGATAAATTAATAGACTTGTTCAAATTAAAACGCTTACTGCAATGGACGGCGCAAAACTGCGCAGCTAAATAATTGACGCTTTTGTCCAGTAGATTGTGGTCTATTTGATAGTACCAGTATCTCTGTGAAAAACCATTTTGATTTTATAGGTTTTTTAAAAACTTGTGAATATTTATCTCCGTATTATTTATAGTCGTATACATTTCACCTGCTACTAATTGAAATTCTAAAAAACCATTTTTGGCCAACTATTTTCGTTTTTGGACCATTGTGCGACTCTTCTGACACCTTCTTACTTACCAATTTTTAATTTTTAAACGATTTTTTATTCATAAAACTTAAAAAGCGTGATTAAAATCAGATAATCAAAAATTAAATGGTTTTTGACGATTTAACAGACGGTAACCGAAATGTCGTATCAGTCATGGCCAATGAGGGAAATCGTTTGGCCTGCTCAGGACCTAAACATGTGATTTGCTGTAGGTACTATTTCAGGATATCACCGTGTTGTTATCGTAAAAATCAAAATAATTGTTTTCGAAAACTTGGGTAAAAAAAATTGGTAACTATTATTTTTAAATATTTTTTTTCTTTTTAATGATTTTATTCGCAATCTGAATCTAATGAAATCTTAATAATTGAACATTTTACTTGAAATATGATGCCAATCTTCGTGCCTACACGTATTGTGTTTGCGTACCTTATTTATACAACATTATAATATTCATGCTTAGAATTATTATTATAATTAGAGTAGAGGACTTCTATCATTTACATATTTATTTTGTGCAGCCGTAAAACAAGGCCATTTTGAAATTTATTCATTTAATGTTCCAACTAAGCCGAATCTACAATCTTATAATGCATATTTAGATAGATAATTGTTTTTCTTATTTTAAGCGTTTTTAAATAATTATTATTTTTTAATTATCACTAAAATACATTTTTAGTACTTATTTTTATGGTTTTTAAGTGCATAAGTGCTCGAAATTTCGTGTTGTTTAGAGCTACATTTCTTCTGTCCTAATATTATTATACTGGGTAGTTTATTTAAGTGGATACGATCATTATCTCGGAAAGTATTAACTTTTTCCGGAATTTGTTTTCTAGAACATTTAAAAAAAAAGCTGCTCTACCAATTGCATATTTATGTTATTTTTCGTCGCCTTTATTTTTAAGAGGTAAAACCATTACCTACTTTTGATTTTCAAATGGCAACCTACATTAAAATATCCATAAATAGATGGAGTATTAGTTAAAATAAATTTTAATGTTGAAATTTTTGATTTCTGTCAAGTCGTTGACGAGATATTCCACTTTTAAGTTTAGGTTGGAGGAGAGTAGTGGTGCTTTATTAATACGCCATGCGCCGTACCGCCACACAAATGATACTCCACTACTCTCCTCCAACCTAAATTTAAAAGTGGAATATCTTGTCAGCGGCTCTACAGAAATCAAAAATGTCAACACCCACATTTATTTTAACTAATATTCCATTTTTTCATGATAGGATGACAAAAAATAACATGAATATAAAATTGTAGAACAGCTGGTTTCTTAATGTTCTAGAAAACTGATTCCGGAAAAAGTTAATTACTTTTAAAGATAATGAGTGTACCCTCTTAAACGAATCACCTGTTATTAAATTGTATTTCGGTGTCATTTTTAGATTCCGAGTATGTTCTGTGTCGATTTAAAACTTTTCCTCGGGCCGGGTGAAAACCAAATCGCAAACAACTAGACAGTAGGTATATTAAACCATACTGTTAACATATACTATAACATAACAGACAGGTAGGTAAACACGTTTTCGTGACGTGACGTGTCATATTTTATTTACATAAAAACGAAAGTAAATCGTGTTAAAAAAAAAAAATATACTCGTATTTATCTATGTAAATACAGATCTGTGTACGTTTGCCAGAAAAAGAAAAAAAACCAATCACACTCACAAAAATACATGTGCATGTGCATAATTCAATAAGTGTAATATAATATTATCTTGATAAAAAATTTCGAGATTTCGAGCCAATTTCATTTTTGTTGTTTTTCAATTTATAATCGTTTAACGGCCTTATTTGCATAACAATTTTCAAAACCTTACCCCTGTTCTGTGTAGGTACTGTATAAACATTTTTGTCTCTTATTTATTATTAAAAAAATCTACAATATCATAACAAGTGTAAAAAGTTTTAAAATTAACATACATTACATAGTGGCTATGTGGGAGAGGATATGTAATATTAACAACGACATATTATTAGCTATGTACAAAAATGTAAAATAAAAGAGTTTGCAGTATTTTTTTTTTTTTTTAATGTATTCTTAACATCTGCTAAAAATTGGTGAACTATAGTTAACTACTCAGCAAGATGCCCTATTTTCAGAACATAAATATTTGATATCCAATACAAAATTATTGCTGTACCTAATCCAACTACAGACAAAATCCTACTCAATCAAAAACGAAAATAGCCTGTACAAAATTGATAATATGTAATAAGAATTGAACTAGTGCATAAATATATTTGACAGAAAAATATTTGTTTATATTTCTGTACCAAATAATTGATATTGTAAAAAAAAAAAAGGAACCCAAAAAAAACCTAAAGGAAACCCTAGGAAACCTAAAAAGAAAAACAAATAGTTTAAAAAAGAAAAAATATAATAATGGTTATAGGCATCCACTATTTTGTACATTGAAAATATGAAAAAATAAACATCTATCAAAAAAAAAAAAAACCGTCACATTACACTTATGAAGAATTGACTAAAATAAATTATCAACCGAAGTCTGAGACAAGCGATAGACACACTTTACACACTTCGACTGTATACAATAATAATGTTAGATTTATTAGTTACTACTAACTATTACACACTCAAAAAAAAAGTACAGTTTAAGTGAAAAAAAAAAAAATGGTAAAACTCATATTAACAATAAAAATATAATATTCTAATTAAAATAGGTATGTATATAAATATATATATATTTAAATTTATTATATTTTAAATAATATTGACAGATGAAAAAGGAGACAAAAAAAAAACAGAAATAATCAACATTCATAGGAAACACATGGCGAGTTTAAAATGGAAACTACAGTAGCAAACTCCATCACCTTAATACATGTTTCAACTAACAATAGCATACTTAAAACAGAACATAACAAGACTTTTGACTATGCCAATTGGTAGCGCCTTACAACTAATAAGAAAAAAAGTATCACACAAATATTACGGCCATAAAAAAAAAGAGAAAAAAGTAGGTAATATCACTTATTACAATATAAATCATTCTTAATAATGTTACAAGTAGGTGAAGTATAATAATAATAATTTAAAAAAAAAACAACTAGACAATGACTAAAAAAAAAATGTCTTATATTAATATTATGATATAAATAAATAACTGTGTATAATGGTACCAAATTTTTTTTACGCCTTTCTAGATTAGGTAGGCATTTTGTATAATTATATAATAAATTATGATGATTATTATTATATGTATGTATACATAATATGATAAACATTTTCCAGTCTTTAAAAATGATGAACAATTTTTTTTTCAAAATAAAGTACATAACATGGAAAAAAAAATAAATTCAAAACCTAACTAATATTGTGAATAAATAAACTACTTAAATTAATATTATTAAATATATGATTTGAATAATTGGTAAATAAAGACAAAGGAAAAACAAATTTGAATATAATATAATAAATAATAGGTATCTAAAACACTTAGGCACATATATTTTAATAAGACTTGCACACGAAATAAATAATACATTTAAAAAAAAATAAAGTTGGAGCTGTAGATAGGTTATATGTGTTGATATTTGGAAACTAAACACCTACAAAGTACATTATTATCTAATATAATAAATTAATAAAAAATAAAAAAAATTGGGTATTGTTTATCTATCACAAAATATCACAAATATAAATAATGAAGCCATTCGAGTATTCATGAATCAATTGCACATCAAAAAAAATATACTATTTTACAATAATAAAATAATATTTTAAATATTTGGTAATTTTCGTACTCACATGCACACGTTACTTAATATATTATTATAAACATTTTATTGGAATCAATAATTTTACAGACTATGAAAACAAAACACACACTCCACATTTTAGTATATATATTATATAAAAAAAAAAAAATATTATCTTTCCAAGAATAATCCACTGAGAGCCCCACACACACAATAAAATATATTATTGTTCATAAACAATTTTGCTTTTGTTAATAAATAATAATAACATCAAATTTTTTTGCAAGATTGATTGTGTTAAATTGTAATATTAATATTGTTGTGATTATGATTGTAAATGAGACCCTGATTTTGAATACTCATTGTTTTATTTCCCACTATATCAATATTTTTGCAAGATCTAATGAGAAACCAGATTCACAAGAAGAAAACTAATTAAACTTAACAAAATCTATTCATTATATAACTTATTGCACAAAATCGGACTGCTATCCTACACATGTACCTATACAGTATGATACTATATAGTTATAAATACAAGTTGTCATATTATATTATATCGAGCTCGTATGAGAATCCACATAGGTTGATACACCGAAAAAAAAAAAAGAAAAAAAAAGAATATATAATAATAATAAATACAAATTAACCTATAGTTAAAAAATGTGCTGCCAAAGAACAAGTTTATTTTTTTATCCTTGACGACAGTAATGCAATAGAATTGTCATAAAGACAATGATGGCCGCGATGACGATGACGATGATGATGGTGAAGATGGTGCACGTAACATAGTGATAAAAACTATGCTGAATCGAACTTAGGAATAGTTCATCCATGACAACTGAATTGATGTTACCGTCACCGTATTTGTGCGACTGCAGCGCAAGCCTCCTCCGTGCTGATAATAATGCATCGACGGGATGAATAAGTAGAACCCGTCGAATGATGTCGTCTCAGGGTGGCGGCACGTCGTCCTTACTGGCGGCTGGGCTGATCGCGGCGGCGGCGTCCCGACCGGACGACGCAACGGCAGCTACCACGATACCGCCGCCGCTCTTGTTGCCCTCGTACCCGCCAACGTGTTTGATGCACACCTGGTCGGCCCTGGATTGCTTGTACTTCCGGTTGAAAAAAAACCTAGTGCCGGTGACTTGGGACGACTTTGCCGACTTGGGCCTGTCGGTCGTCACCGCAGTCGCGGTATCCTCCCCGCCGCGACCGAGCGAATATTGGTGATGATGATGATGGTGCTGCTGCTGTTGTTGCTGATGGTCTCTCTCCTCAGCTATGCGCGGCAACGAAGTGACCGGGTGCAGTTGTTGACCGTCGTCACACGCCGCGATGGTCGTCACCGGCGGAAACAGCGTTTTTTCCGCTGTTTGCGGCGAGGCGGCGGCAGCGGCGGCGGCGGCAGTGGATTGCACGTACGTCAGGGTGGTGACCGTCTTGACGAGCGGCGAATCGGCGCCCGTGGAAGACGCCCGCGAGCACATAGGCGGCGACTTGGTTATGACGGTCATGCGTGGCGCGTGGTGCATGGTGACCTTGAGCGCGGGATCGCACAGCGGCGATATGGAATTGGACTTGGTCTCGGCCGTGCGCGGGTGCAACCGATCGGGCGACAGGGCCCGGCGCAACAGCGGTGATCCGGGTTCCGACGTTTTGCACGGCCTGCCGAACGACGAACCGGCCCCTTTCTTGCAGCAGCCGGACGCGGCAGTGGCACCGACCGCGGACACTCCGGGCCCAGCAGACGAACCGGCAATCGAACAGGACGCGACGCCGGACGCACCCACGGCGCCCGTGCCCGCTGCGTTCGGGTTGGACAGCGAGGACGGGCTGTACGATTGCGTAGTGTTCGAACTGCCCGGCTGATGGCCAGCCGAGAAAGTCAACGGGCTGGGCGACCGGGTCGGTGACTGGGGCAACGGTGACGGGGACGGCGTCCGGGCCAACGGGGACAGCGGTATGTGGCCGACAGACTTGCGCCGGTTCGGAGAGTGTAGGTTTTTAGTAGCCGAGTGCAACTTGTGCTTGAGCCCGTGCAGCGTGGACGGCCGCTGATACGGCGTCGGCGAGTTGGGCGTTACGGTAGGCGACGAGTTGGACGACGAGCTCGACGAGCTGGTCGACGACGAGTAGTCCACCGCGGCCGACATGACGCCATCCTGTTGGGCGGCAACCGCAGGCGCAGCCGCGCACGGAGACCGGCCGCTCATAAGGGTCAGCTGCGAAAACAAAAACCGACGTTTACTCTTTCGTACCGCTGGCCGTATAATATAAAACTCTTAGGTTTATTATGATCCGGGCTAAACTACACGGTTAAAAACGTTCATTGCTTTAATACCTAGCACGGAACGGATTCGGGAACAAGTATAGTATTGTTAACTTCTTAGAGCGTAATTTTACATTTGTGTTCTACGCGTATAATATAAAGTTAAAATTTGTCGGAAACGACATACCAAAACAGTGTTGTGCAGTGGGCGCCTTTAACCGGAAATATGATAGATATGGATGTTTAATTTTTCGTCCAAACATTATTATCAGCACGGACTAAATAATTCTAATCTACGGTTATCAAAGATGACGGAATTGCACAGGATATATTTAGAAGCGCGCCTAAACGTCATATGTTATCGGTTAGCGTATATTTAATTCGTGTCCGGTGTATAAACGTTGTTCGCAGACTTTCCAGGATAATGAGTGACTTACATTACATGTATACTTTTCTATTACTTTTCACTTTTATAGGTCGGTTTATTTCGTGTTTACTTTTATATATTAAATTATTTATAACAGGCACGCATTACAATAGTTAATTATGTTATTTTTTTATTTGTTAAAAAAATGTTTCTTATTTGAATTCTTAAAGCTATCAAGTTACCTGTTTAAAATATTATCTTAATGTTATTTCTAAAGGCCACACAATCAGTATTGCTTTTATTTTTTACATTATAATTTATCAGTTTAACCTAAAATTCTAGGCCATCATCTAGTTCTAAGCTATACGTGTCCCATATCGTGCCTAAACATTATATCCCATCTAACCTTCACATGTTGGAAAATGGGAAAACATTCAAGTAACTCGTTGTACAAAAATTATTATAATTCATTTTCGAACGAAGATTTGAAAGTAGTATACAATTTTACATTGGATAGTACTCGAAAATACAATTATTATAACAATTATCATTTTGAAAAATTAATCTAAAATTAGCTGTCCCATCATGTCCGGATCTTTCCTAATAAATACTAACAACGATAACTTGTGTTGCTTACCTGTTGATAATCGGGCGAACACTTTGTGCTAATCCGTCGGAACAACGATGACTTGTTCCGACGCCTGCTTTCGCCGGCCGGTATATCCTTGCGCTGCGACCGTTTGTGTCGGTGTGAGTGATGCCCGAACCCGAGGCCCCTGTGCCGGGCGTTTGACGCCAGCTTGCTCTGTCCTGGTTCCCGGCGCCGGCCGCCAGTCTTGATGGTCGTGAATTCCAGCGGCGTGGACCGTAGAGTGGCCTTGTCGCCGCCGGACAACAGCAACTGCAAAACCTGAGTGTGGTTCATACCCTGTACGGGCTCGTCGTTGACATGCGTGATCAGGTTACCTGGATTCAGGCCCGCCTCGAATGCAGGACTACCGGAGTCAACGGCCTGTTTAGACAAGACACACAACAAATTTTATTATAACGCACATCTTTAGGTTTCAAGGTTAGGAGCACATTAAAATTAAGTCGTGAAGACAGTCGAGTGACCTCTACGCCGACTATTCTGGCCTATTTTAGATACCAATTATCAATTTTAAAACTATATTCAAATAATGAACAAAAAAAAAAAGTGATACTGCTGATAGGTGCACCACAGCAGGTATAAGTGGGAAGTTAGGAAGGTATGATACATAATGTTATTTTATTTAAAAACGCTTATAGATATGAATCTATAAGCACCAATAAACCATTGCTAATGAAAAACGATTCTAAGTGAAGTACATTTATATTAATATTTACGATTTTCTTCAACATTTTTAACCACAATTACATTCTAATTTATTTATTTATTTATTTTTTTTTTTTTTGACAACTAAGTAAAACTTATAATGAACCTACTGTTAAATTTTTAAACATTTCTGATTGGTTAAACAATTTTATCCACAGAGTACCTACCAAATAAAAATTACGTAAAAACTCGCAAAATTAAAATGCGTTTAAATAGCTTAAAAATGACCCAAATGTTTGAACATTTTACCACGTCTAGAAAGGCAAATATAAGTTTTGTGTCAAAATTTCAAGTCTATATAAATATTTTAAACTGTATTATAACAACAAGAAAAATAAACGCATTATATTCGTAAATTTTCCCGTTCTTTCTACGTTTATTTTTTTTTTTTTTTGGTTTCGCTCAATTATCAAAAAAAACTACAAGGAAAATCAAAATACCGACTATTTTACTCACCAATTAGATAAAAAACAACAAAAAAATCTCTATTCATTTTTTGAATAGAGCAGAATTTCTGCGGGTAGAAAACATAAATCGTAAAAATTTAAAATAATGTAAAATTTGTACGTTTATATTTTTCATCTTTTCCCAATTATTATGAAAACTACTAATGACCTGCAACTGCTAGATGAAATTTCCTTTCAGAAATGGTGCTCAGACAAAACACACACATAGTAAATTCAATAAAACCCTCGCTCAGAATCTAGAACCAGAAAGATTTTGTCAGTGTTTCGGCTAAAAATCAAATTTCGAACTTAATTTTGACCTCGGTTTTTAATTTATCATAAATTTCGATCGGACGGACATTGAGCTTGCACGACTACTTGTCTCTCATAAAGAAGCCGAACAAGTAGACCATAATCAATCGGTTTTTAATCTGGTACTTAATTTCAATTTTAGGCCGTAAAACCATCAAGTAATGGTTAAAAATCTGTTAAAATTTATCATTAAATGTTTAACCTATCTCGCTTAGAATCGTTATTCGTTCACAATAATTTTCCGTGGTATTCGTGGTATTCAATATATCACCCTATACATCCTGACATTCTAACTTCCTAATTACAACCGTGGCCAGACCAGTGACGTACTTAGGGTAGGGCTAGAGGGACTTTAGTCCCCCCTCCATTTAGCATATCAATTACAAAAAAATAATATAAATAATTCAACATTGATAAATTATTACTAATAAAAAAATCATTGGATATGTGCACTACTTATTCAGCTAAGTATAAATAATTGTATTGCACAATTATTATATATTTTGTGAACCATTTTTTTTTTTAATCTTTTTTTTTTTAGTATAAAACCCCCTCCCAACTTTATTAAAAAAACCATGGGGACACCACTGGACCCAAGAATGAACAATAATAACTTCGTTTTTTTTTTTGATTAGTCACACATCACATCTAATTTTCTATTAGAGGAAATTCTCTGTTCGAACCCACCTTTTAAAATATAGATATGTGAATTATTAGTTTGTAACAATAAAACGATAGTCAAAGTTTAAAATTTTAAGCAGAGTGATTTTTCTATATAATTAAGATTTATGTTTATTTTTTTGAGTATTTCGGATCTAATCGGTGTATTAAAGAGATTAGCTTTTGATGTTTGTAGTTTTAATTTTACTAAGGTACCATGAAAAAAGATATTAAAAACCTGACAAATTTACAGCATTAATAGTTTCTTTATAATCGATCTATCAGAAATCTTGCTTCGAATTCCAAATGTAGCATATTTTCTAAAAAAAAATGTTGTCTTGTTGGCACATAAGTAGGTCGTTTTTTGATTATCCGTGTAGTTTTCTTAATAATTAAAAATTAAGAATAATTAGGAATAATCGAAAAAGTATAACAGTTTCATTATTTACAATTTAGTTTTATTTTTAGTAATTCGGTAAAAATAATCGTAAGGTAACAGCAATTTTTACAGAATACTTATATTAGCATTTTCTAGATGTGGATAACATTCTCGTAAATGTTTAATTATTTATAAAGGAATTTGACAATTTTGAGGTTTTTTAGTTTAGTTCTATGTAGATAAATTGGTTTTGCAAGAAAAAATGTTGAAAAATTCTGTCATAATTTGTACAAAGTGGTAAAAATAAAAAAATAAAAAGTAATGTAAACATTTTTTTTACACGTTTAACGTTCAAATTTTGAAAAATTATAGGGCATTAATATTGATAAACCATTAATGTGGTTGAAAATTTAATATAAGGTTCATCCTAAAATGCATTTGATAGTAAAAAAAAATCATATTATAGTAGTAAAAATCACGACATTGCAATACATATTTTACCGATTTTCGCTCAGTATCATATTTCGTTAGTTATTATTTTGTCAATCTGATATAAATGAAGCATTAAGAATCAGCTACATTTTTTCCAAATCCAACAAAGATATAAGATTCATTTGGACTTCAGTACATTATAATATTAAGGGTAACGAGGATGCAAATATAGCAGCTAAAAATGAAATAAACAACCCTAACTGTGAAATACTTTCTTTATCAACACTCTTAAACATAAAATCAAATATAAATAAATACTGCAGGGCTAAATGGAACACTGAATGGCACAATACCATGGAAAATAAAATACTTGAAATCAAACACTCTGTTGTACACCTGGCCCAAATGCAGTCAATTAAATTGTAAGAAAGAAGTAGTCCTTAACCTACTAATAATTGGTTACACTATATTTTCATATGGATACCTAATGGAAAAGACAAAACCATCCCTATGTCCAACATGTAACACAATCTACTCTACCAAACATATGATAATTTACTGTACTATGTTCACCAAAGCCAGAAAGGAATTCAACATTCCAGATAATCTATATGAAACAATTGGACCAACCAGTATCAGTAATCAAAACCCTCTCCTACCTTAAGACAATAGAAATGTACAACCTTATATTATAATACAACAATGTAAACTTTTAAACTAATAACCACTGTAATTTATGCTATAAACAATAAAAATTAAATTAAATAATCATTTTCCTAACTAACCAGCTACAATTGTGAAAATTCTATCAACAATATAATTTTTAAATTATTAGTCATCTTTTTTTCATGATTTCCAAAAAAAAAAAATCTAAATCTAAAAAAGATATTTATCCTAAATTATTCTATAGGTAATATATCATATTGTAGTAGGCATATAAAAATGAGTAAAAAAATATAAGTATATTTAATTATATTAATCAAATCAGATTTAAAATCTATCTAAGTTCCAAAACAGAAATCAGTCTAATTTTTAAATGCAATAGTATTCCACAATATACAACAATTACTAACAATACAATTGTAGACTACAATTTGTTTTGAAATTTTAAATTATTTTTGTTTTAGGAATTTGAATAGTAACTAAAAAGACAAAAAAGAAAAACTGAAGACTTGATCCAATGGTATGTATATATATAGTTATTTCAAATGTTTAAAATTAATAATATTAATCCTCCTTGATTTTTAAAACAAATTTAAATTTTTCAAATACGATGAGGTATTTAGGTGCACAATATAATTTTATACATAAAATAATAAATCTGTACTCAGTGGCATAGCCCAGGTTATACAATGGGAGAGGGGATGGGACCCTAGAACATTTTAGATATTATATACATCATTGGTATAAGATATACTGCTCATAGATAAGCCAGTATTATAGTGGGAATTTAGGAAAAATAAAATAATAATTTTTTTTACTTAGACATTCATATTAGTTATTACCAATGAAAACTAAAATGTAATTAATCTTTACAAATTACTTCATAAGGAGAAAAAATCAATATTTGCAAAAAGAATTTCACTATAATCTAAAACTTTAACTTAAAATATTACTCTTCACTTAATGAAAAATGTATAATTAAAAAAAATGAATTGATAAATCCTTAGTAATCAAGTACTATTTTGACTATTTCTATGAGAATTTAAAATAAATCTTGAATATAGTATTGATTTAATTTAAAAACTAAAAGCAAAGATAAAAAATCAAAGTTTACCATTTTTTTTTTTTTTTTTTTTTATATGACTAATAGTTGAATTTGAAATAAATACATTTCAAAAACTACTAGTATCCAGTTATTGTTAATTTGTAAACTACTGTATAAATCTTATCTTTATCAATTTTTCTTAAACAAAGAATTAGTCAAGGAAACATCCCCTCTCCAGCCACTGTTTATCATTTTTACAATATACAGAATTATCAAATACCTCAAATACAATACTATAGTCTCCATCCATTAAAATGTAAATAATAATGTTATTGTTTAAATTTTTTTATTTGATTTAACGATTTATAAGTGATTGGATATTATGTAGAATTATTATTTTATGGCATATATGTATACACTATATAACTCATAAACCAACCACAAATAAAATAATGTTTAAACAATTTAGTAGAGTTGTAATATAATAGAATAACAATATGTTGATACATGCTAGGATTACATAAGTGGTTTGAACTCGATTATATATTTTATTTGAGTACAGCTTATGAATAGATAACAAAAGCCATAAATATAAAGTATAGAATTATCTTTATATGCACAACACATTTACATACCATTACTAAATGATGCATAGTGTAGAAATCACTATCACCATAGTATACACGAATAGTGTTGACAGTAAAACCAAAACCAGAAGGTCCTCTACGCAATATTATGGGTGGTTTCAAACTGGTGATCATGGGTACATCACGGCAGGGTGAGCTCAATGCACTACACGATCCTGGCGACTTCATATGCAATCCATTGCTACTGGATTCTAAAACAACACAAGTAAGGGCCATATGTATTACTCAACAGTAAACATCATGATAATTTTGTTTAGATTATATAATTTGTCAATCATCATATACATACCAGGAGGGATCATCAAAGACAATCCAGTGGCTGAGAAACTTTTAATGACAGATCTTGTACGTTGACCACTAAAAGAATTACTGGTAGAATTTTTTGACATGCTGGAACTTGATGAAGGTGGTAATGTTGGACACAAATTCGCTGTCACTGGTAAACTTAGAAATTCTTCTTTTTTCTCTGGGGAAGGATCATCAGATTCATTTTCTGACAGACTTCTTAATTGCCTGAAAAATAATTATAATTAAATATTATACATTGTAAATTTAACAAGTAATCAAATATCAAAGATAAATCATAATAGAAAATATATTTCATTTAACTTAGCAAAACAATTTAAAAATATAAATTTCTTTAAAATAGTTAAAAAGAAATTGTATGTATGTATCAAAACTAATCTCACAATCATGGTGCATTTTTTATATTTTCTTAGTCTGAAAATTTCTTTATATATACAGATAACAGATGCCAGATAGTTATAACTAATTTATTAAATTTGTGTTTCATAAGATTTGATATAAAGAGGATATGCTAAATCCTGTATTTAAAGGGTTGCATTTAAGGAAGTTTCACAACAATTTTGGAAAATGGAATTTTATCAACTCAAAAATATTTAATTTTACTTTCAAATACATTTATAAACAGTACCTTGTTATTATCAAAATTATTTATTGTATAATCATAAAATAAACAAAAATGTATATAAAAAATATTTTTAAGAGTTAATCAATTTTTGGACTATGGACTTAGTTAAGAAACTAAATGTTTATCATAAAACAAATAATCAAATTAGACTAGGTAGTTTGTTAAACCATTTAATTTTAAAAAGAACATTATTATATTAATAAATGACTAGGTATATAAAAAAAAAATTTAACTCTGGCTACTCTTGAATAATATAATTAATATTTAAATACTAGTAATAAATACAATAATTAATTTAAATTTAAAATGTTGAGTAATCAAAAAGCAATGAACATACAATTTAAGGTTTGTATAAATCATATTATTATTTTTGACTTGAATGGAATACTATATTTATCAGACATTTTGAAAAGAAGAATAAATAAATATATACCTATTTACCATAACCAACATCTAATCAACAAACTAAAAAAACAATTTAATCATAAATTTCTAAATTTCCTAACAGTTAAAAACCTCTAGAAAATAATTTTAGAAACAGGCAGGTATAAAATTAAAGTTATAAATTTAACTTTTATTGGTTCTTTTATTTTGTAATTACATTAAAAATATTTTTTATAAATGTGTACCCTATACTAATACCTAGTCAGTTCTCTCTGTTTATTAAAACACTAGAACAATATTTGTCTTATTAACTCAAATACATTTCCATATCATCATCCTAACAAAAGATTACACTAATATTATTTCACATTTATCACAAAATCACAAATTCTCTAAAATTGATTTTTATTATAAAAGACCAAAATAATTAAATTCATTGTCAAATGCATCACTGATCTTTGGTGATTTAAACTGAATTTCATAAACAATGTTGTAGAAAATAATGAAAATAAAAAATTAAGTTTGATTAAGTTTAATTGTAACTGAGTAGTTTATAATATAATTTAACCATTTGAAAATATAACACTAAGTAAACCATTAAAAATTAAATTAATTAAGTAAAACTTTGAATAGACCAGAACTATTATATTAAATATTTGTAACAATAATAATATTGAACATAAAAATATAATTCTGAAGAAGTAAAAATTGGCTCTACTGATGATTAATTATTTTATCCATCAAATTATATACATTTAAAGTTATTTATAAAATTTATTTCTTGACTATTAACTATTCTTGATTATTTTATTTAAAGGATCTGTTGTTTTTCAACAAAAAATTGTAAATAACAGTTATGACTTTATGAGTAAATAACAATATTTTGATGCAATGTAATATTATATTTACAGATTTCCCAGAATGATCTAAGGAAGAGATATACTGATTCTAGCAGTTTATAATTTAACTACAATATTCATATTATAAATTAATGTATTTTTTTTAAAAGTAATAAATACCGTTTTAATTTACTTTAATATATTTATATTTAGGAATTTTAAAATAAAATATTTTTTTTTTTACTCTTTAAATATATAAATATTAAAAATGTATGTAATAATATTATTATAGTTTTACTTTTGTACATTTATCAATGGTTAATATTTACTAACTAAATAAATTCTTATTCAAAACATAATATATTGTATCATTATTTCATCATAATTTTAAAAAAACATATTCAACTGCAATTAAATTTTTTTTTTTGAATTATCTTAAGTGGTCATTAGAAATGGTATTTAAATTTAAGAATAGGTTTGAAAATTAAAATCAAATACTTTAATATTAAATTATTTTAAGTGCTAAATGATTAGATAAATAGTAATTATGTAATAATACTTATGAATTTTTATAATGATAAAACAATATAAAATATATTATTATATATGTTGTATTTAATTTAGAATAAACAATAGTGTTGAAGTAAATAAAAACAATGCATCATTGAACACCTACATAAATAAAAACTTCAAGATTAAAAGACATGCCAAAATCAATAGCACTAACACTATGTCGACCTATTTTATAAAATAAAATGTTTTTAAGTGTGTATTTAACCAAGATAATCAAAAAGATTTTCTTTTCCTACAAACTACAAATCAATCTCATTAGATAATGAGTTTATTAAATACTGCAATACTACTAGTGCACTTTAACTTGCTTTTTTTTAATATAAAAAGCATATTACACATTAGATTTATATACATACAAAAAATAAATCAATAAATGAAAAATAAAATTAGAAAAATATTTTCTATATTTTATTATTCAATACAAGAATTTTATAAAAATGAAATAGCATATAGAGCTTACGGAGATCTGTCATCTTCAATTGAAATTGAGAATTTTGGTATGCTTTCCTTACTATACAAACGCCGTCTACGATGCATTTGAGTGTTTGAGTCATTTTCATTTTGTGTTGTGTCCAATGTCCCAGTTTTCTTGGAAACAGGCGATTTTAAACTTTCTTCTACCATTTCACCTTCTGAAGCTGAAGTATCAAACATTCCTAATTAATCAACATAATCTAATAAATTAATGTCCTAATAACTGAAATACATAATTTATATGATAAATGAAAAGGACAGTAAAAAATTGTATTCACTAACCGGTATTAACAGATAAAGAATCATCTTTATAGTTCACTGAGGGTGATAATGATGAATATTCATTGTTCAATGACAATTTACTTGCTACTTTTCGAAACTGTGGAGAACAGGATGAAAATGTACCCAAAATCAAGGAGTCATCGTCAGTATCTTCCTCGACTTCATGATTATACCGGTCACTTCGAGCTGAAATAATCACATTACATTATTTTTATTATCTCACAATAATAAAATTAATGTAAACATGTTCACATGTTTTAATACTTACAATCAAAATAACTTGTGTCTTCTTCATCACCTAATTGTGGCATAAATTCAGCTTTTTGTCTCAATAATGAGTTCCAATCTACGCCATAGAAATATGGATGATCTTTTACTTCATGAGATCCACCGGTACCCAACCGGTCCCTGGGGTTTTGTTGCAACAATGCTGATATTATATTTTTAGCTTCTGGCTGAATTGGCCAATCATTTTCATCAGGCCATTCAATATCATCTGTAATATTATGAATACACATAAATAAATAAATAACATCTAATACACAACAATAAACAAATAATTCTAACCATTTACTGTATGGGCAAATAGTTCTTCAGGGGTTTCTCCAAAAAATGGTACACACCCCACTAAAAATTCATACAATATTATTCCCATGGACCACCAGTCTACTGGTTTACCATAACCTTGTCTGAAAATAAATATTTGTTAAGTTGGATTTGATTATATTTTGAATATTGAATAATGATCATGTTCTCATGTGATATAATTTGAAGTGTATTCAAGTAAATGCATACCTTAAAATTACTTCTGGTGCTATATACTCAGGAGTACCAAATACTTGTTTATCAGAAAACTGTCGAGTATCTCTGTCAACATGTACTTCATATAAATTAGTTGCCACTATTTACAAAAATAAAAAAAAAAAATACAATACATTAAAAATAATAATTCATAACTATTGAACATAATAATTATTACAAAAATTTAGTTTGCTTACATGACATCAAGCCCATTTTACTCAATCCAAAATCGGTTAATTTAATATGGCCTAATGCGGTAATTAAAAGACTGAAAATGTAAAAAACAAAAACCAATTAAAATGGTTTATCTATAAACACAATGTATTATATTTACTTGTCAGGCTTCAAGTCCCGATGCACAATCCCATAATTGTGAAGATATTCAACTGCAAGTACTGTCTCTGCAAAGTAAAACTTTGCCATATCTGGTGGTAAAGGACCAATATTTTTCAACAGAGAGGCACAATCACCTCCTTCAACATATTCCATTACAAGACAAAGATGTTTCTAAAAAAACATTTATGTTTTGATTCTCATAAACATGTATTACAGTTTATATCAAACAATTTAAAATATTACTTACTCTTGTTTCAAAACTACAGTACATGGTGACAACAAAAGGATTGTCTGTAAAACTCATGATATCCCTTTCAGCAAATACTTGTTCAATTTGATTTCGCAATATTAGACTATTCTTAATTATTTTCTTCATTGCAAACCGTTGACGGGTTTGTTTATGCCTTACAAGATACACAGCGCCATAAGCTCCGTTTGAGATCAATTTGATTACGTCAAAGTCAACTTCTGATGGAGGCTAAAATAAAATATAATTAAATGGTAAAAAAAAAAAACTTATAACAATTATTTATCTAGATACAGAATAAAAATAATTACTCACAGAAGAAAAAGTATTATCTTTTTTAGTACTTTGCTGTTGAGACTTTTTTAATAATGAAGAAGAATACTCATCTAATTTGTGAAAATTTACATCAATATCTGAAAAATATAAGTGTAATTTTAATACTTAATTAAAATATACTATATGGTTATAAATATAAAACATACCATCAGTCGTATTACGATTTAAACCTAATTTTCCTATTATATATTGTGGTATTTCATCCTTAATGCCTTGGCATATTTTAGCCTGTCCTTCAGCTTGTTCTAACAAATGATAAAATTCTTCAGGATCAAACTCTAAACATTCAAGTAATCTGGCTGGTCTAGATATTATTAATAACAATTTTTTCATTGTTCCTGATAACAATGCAGAAGCTTCTTCCGATTTTTCTCTTGCCTAATAAAAAAAAATTTATATTTTAATTTAATGATTATAAATATGTTTAGTACACAGTATACCTCTGCCAATAATAACTCCAAATTTCCAGACATTTCATAGAAATAACCACGGGTAATTAATTTTTCTTCAGATTTCTTTAAGCAATCTCTAGCAACCTCTATCACTTGATGGTTTACAAATCTAACAATAGGCAAAGCATCTGCTGATATATCCATTTGTTCCAAGTTGAGTTTTTCATATTCTTGGATAAACATGTTTAAACGTTCTTCCATTTGTTGTGTAGCCTAAAATGTATACATTTTATTACAACATTATTATGACTTATAGTACAAACATAATAAATTACATTTATAATGCTTAGAAATAACTAAAAAAGCTTTACCTTAGGAAACCTATCTTTATATAGAACATTCATCATAACAATATCATTGTCAAGAACTGGTGATCTGCTTGGACTGCTGAAACAAAGTAAAATATTAAAATAACTGATACTTACGAAAATTCAATGGACCAAAACATTAACCTTAAACTCCTTGAACGGGGTCGATTGAAATGATGTTTGCGATAGATAATGTTATCTTCCTCTGCGCTGTGAGTACTGTCGTTGGATGAGAAATGTTTAGAAAACATGTGCAATTCATCAGAAGTTGGCATATTTGGAAGTTGATGCAAACGCTCCTGACTGGAACACTGAGACTGCAAATCAATATTATTGTTTTTCAAAATCGTTCCCCAACTATCAGACACTTGACTGTCAACGCTTACTGAAACATTTGAACTTCCAGAAGTCGTTCCATAACCAGATGATGGTAATGATGCAACTGACCACCTTCTTCCATCACGGCAATCTGTTGTAAGTAAATTGTAGGGCCTGAAATGTTGAATGTGTTGAATTAATCTCATATACATAAATTTGAAAATTTTATATTTTAATTTCCATTAATGAATACCAAAATTAATGTAATTATAAATATAATATATTAATAATTAAAAAAGTATCTTTAATAATAATTACCTTTTTATTGAAACAAATGGAAAATTAGGATTTGAATGAACTACTTTAGGACTTTCCAGTGGGCTACCTAAAATAAAACAATTCCTTAGATTAATGGATTATATGTAATAAATAATTATTTTAAAATATATCTGTAATGTTGTTCATAAAATGTTTACTTGACATTGGAGAGTGACATCTTGGTAATGTAGGAGATGTGTTTGAAATTAAGCTTTTTCTGTGATTAGCCTTAATTGACCGTCTTATAGATCCTGCTACATGTAATTCTCTCTATGGAATCAAAAAATAATAATAATTATTTCAATTTTAACACTTAAATTTATGTAACTTGTACAAACCAAACTATTAGACAATGAAGGTGCCGACTGTCCAAGTGTACTGTTGCGCATCAAAACTAAATTGGATAGTTCTGTCAACATAACAACAATATGATCAATTATAAACCACAAGATTAATATTATGTTTATTTGTAAGCAATTTTTGTAGGTACTAAATTTAACCTGTAGAAATACTTTATGTTGTACTAGGTAATGTCATATTATTAAAATATATTGTAAACTAAAAAAATTATTGATAAATTAGTAAATTTAATGTGTTCAATTAATTATATGTATTCAATTTAAATAATAATTTATATAATATACATATTTTTTATATTTTAGTATATATTTTAATGAAAAAATGTTCATTCTAGAACAAATACATACAATTTATTAATGATAGTACTATTCTCTATATAGACATAAGTGGTTTGTTAACCTTTGGCTTTTTAAATTTGGTACCAACTGATATATATATTATAGCCTATAATATGATTTAGATTATTTATTGAACTGAAGTAATAAAATAACTAAATTATTATTATTTTTTTTTTTTAATATAAGATAATTTACATTGTTATAATTAGCACAATTACTTTAAGTGATTATTTTTAAGTACCTACCAGTTCAAGTTTATCATTCAGCCTATGATGAATACAATAGTTTTAAATCGAATACAAATTTATCTAAAAGAAAAACTAACATGAATACTGATTTATAATGGCACTTATAATTATAGTAATATTAGTCAAGAATACTATCTGTAGTTATTAAAATAGAAATATTATCCTTGTTGTTTTATATTTAAATAGGTATTAGGTATTATAAATAAAGCTGTATTAAAATAGACTGATTATTTATATACCTATCAGCTTTTTAATTTTTTGTAGTTATCTTCAGTGCTTTATATTACATACATGACAATTATTGATTTAGCAATTTTGTAGGTACCTACATAATATTTTACTTTTGATAAAACATAAATCTATTAAATACAACCAGGATTGTTAAAATTTTGTGAATAGAACCTACGTAATACACAATATCAAAATAATATAATATTTAAAATATTATTTTTTAAGAATATTTGCATATTGTAAACCTAACCATTTTTGTATGTAGGAGAGGGAATATATATTATTAATAACTAATTTTTTTTTTTAAATTTTTTCAATATGATACCATAAGAACTTTTATTTAAAAAACTGTCTAAATAACATAGTCTGTGATTACAAATTTACCCTTATTTTATTATACGATAATAGGTAAATAAGGTTTTTCTTGAAATAAAAAAGAAATATAAATATTGATATTGTACTTTTTTGAACATAGGTTGTAACAATATCAATAATATTAATATTTGAATTAACTTTCAAAAATAAAAACATTTTAAGAAAAGAAAAACTAAAATCTATGCACTTCACATGTTCCTACATGTGTACTTTAGTCTTGTGAAAAAGTACACAAGAAGAATTTGTTGTTAGTTATATGTCATATATTTCAACTGATGAATTGTTTAAAAATAACATGATTTAAATTATCATACTTTTGTAATAATAATCTATTCATACTATATTAGTAATTTAAATACAAATTTAAGATTTAACAAAAAATAAATAAGTATGGCTACTCTAAAAAGCATAGCTAAATTTAAAATTCTTATAAATTTATCATAAAATCGAATTTTACACATTTTATGATCTATATTCTTTAAATCAAATCAAATGTATTGGGTAAAAAAAACACATTTGTTAAATATTACATTTTTATTTAATCTGCTAAACTGCCCTGCCTAAGTACCAGTAATCCAGTAAATAATATGACAATGAATTATTATTAATGCAAGAACATGTTAACATGGTTCTTAAATGTTCTAAGTGTTTACCAAAGAAACATCAATGTGAAAAGTATTATGATAGTTTTTTTTGTTTTAGATATTCACAATAAATTTAATGAAAATATTAACAAAGTAGCTCTTAAAATTGATTAATCAATTTATCTAAAAGTGAGACCTTCAGTTAAATAAATCACTTTATTTAAATAGGGATATTTAAATTGAATTTATAAAGTAGAGGACATTTAAATTTAATTTATCAATTTATTTATAAGAGGATGCTGTCATTTATCACTTTAAATAAAAAAATTAAACACCAATGTAAAAAAAAGTACTTCACCATTTATTAATAACGTAAACTAGAATGAATCATTTTAGTTTTGTAGAGTTATATATGCATATAATATGCTCAATTGGTGATGTAGGAATTTTTTTCACTAAGTGAATTTAAATGGCGTGTGAAATAATACTATGTATAACTAATGTGAGAAAAAAATTACTTGGCCCAAAACGAAACAATAATTTATTATTTTTATGCTCTATAAAATTGTATAATGCCGAATGCCTTGTAAAAATAATTAATACTCGACCAGTAAATTGTATTAATAAAGTTTGCTGAATGAAAAATAATTCAGTCAACATTTTAATTTGTGTTTAATTATATATTAACTCACCCTTAATGTTGATTACATTTGTATTAATTTCTCGTATTTTTTTTTTTTCACCAACTAGTACAGAGGAATGTATATAACACATAATTGTTTTATGCAATTTTTTAAATCATAAGTCAATGTATAAACTAAGTACTTATAGCACTGACAACTAATATCAAAATGAACGCACACATAGGTTACAAGAAATCACAAACCTTCTATTGAAAAATAGATAATAAATAGACTCTTAAGTGCCAGACTAAATAGTCACATGATACATTCAAAAAAACAAAGATTATAATACCTATATACATATATATACATATGCATAAAAAAAAGTAGATTATCGTTGGCACGTGCTTCTGATAACATAGTAAAGAAAGAAATTATAAAATAAAACCTGAACTACAAAATAACAGACAATTATTCTGTGTCTAAATAATATAACTACGTTATATGTAGAATATTTTATATAAAATATTCTACTGATAGTGTATGCTATTCATTTAAAAAATGTTTTACAAATAAACGGAAACAGTTTTTACCAAAAATCAACTATCCATTATATTAAATATCACAGATCTATTTAATATATAATGTTGCTTTATTGTTTTATCTCTATTGCCTAAATTAATTTGTGGTTATTTAGTTAAGCCATGGGGTTTTGACTGTTGTAACCCCCCCTCAGTTTTTTTCAGTTATATTTAAGGTTAAAAATGATGTAACCTCTAAATCCCCCCAGTGATAAATTTAGGCTATACCACTATGTAGTTATTAAATATTTAAAACTTTGAAATCACAATATTTAAAAAAAAAAACTGATATAAAAATATTAATATTTAAATCTAATCAAATATGGATTGGATATTTAATAATTTGTTGATGGTTACCTGGAAGATAATTATTATGATTTCCTCAATGTGTAATTACACACCATTTTATATGTAGTATATATATATAGATATTTAACAAGATAATAATAGATAAATTACCATCAACAACTTTCTCATTATAAATAAAACCATCTTGCTATCATCACTAACAGTTTAGAGCTCATTAATATAACTAATAGATTTACTGAATATGTTTTAAATGTTTTAATTATAACAATAATATTTAAATTTATTTTAATATTTATATTGCAAATAAAGAAAAATTAGAAGACAAATATTATGTGCAACATTTAAAAAGATTTAATGCCAAAAGTGACATATGACCTCAAATTTGCTAAATATTAGTATTAAATCTGCCAAAACCACTAGCAAATAGACCAATGTGCCAATGTTTTATGAATGTCATTGATTTTTGTTTCATTTTACTTGGCATTAATTTATATTTATAACTTATAAATATATTTTAAAATGCAAACATTTTGATTAACATTAATAAGATATTCAGAAACTTAAAAAAAAAATGCAATTATAAACAAATATCTAATATTTTAAATTCAAATAAAAAGTCAAATTCAAAAATAATTGTTATTTTGTACAAACATTTATCAGCAAATAATAAGCATATTTTTAATATAAAAATGGTAATCTGATAATTATAAAAAATATAATAAATACTAAAATGTTCTTTGCAAATTAATTACTATGCATGTATTTAAATACTTTCTATATAATTAATTAAAATTAGGAATTTAAATCAAGTAAATATTCAAAATGATCTTATAGAGTTGGGTGTTGATCTTATAGTATTGTTTGTATAAATACTGTATAGATAAAGTATTTTAAAATTGTCTTACCTCACAAATTTGTATGCACCAATATTTAGTATGTATAATTCACTTAAAAAAAGTTTTTTTCCAAGTATTTTTATTATGAAAAAAATAGCATTTAAGACATAAGTGACTTAGTTTAAGAAAAAGTTAACTTTATAATAAAAATAATATTTTAAAAAATATTTTTCTCCTATGATAATGGTTTTAGAAAAATCTAGAAGCAAATGAACAATGTAACAATTTAAGTAATAAACTTAAAGAATAAAAAATGTGTGTATCTCTCAGCCATAAATTAAAATATAAAAATGTTTCAGACTAGGGCGTACAGTGTAAATCAACTTAAAGTCTAATCATTTTATAGTCTACTAAACCAGTAATGTATATTTAAAAAAAAAAAAAGTAAACAGAAGCATTTGTTTCTTAATGAATTTAAAATTAAAATTAAATAAATATCCTCAAAGAGATGCAAATATAGTTTTAAATTATTTAAATAAAAAAATAATTAATAAATAGTACATGAATAATTTTAAAACTACATCCTCTATCTTTTAAAATTCATAACATAACTTGTGAGATATTTTGTGAAAAATATTGTTCTATAATTTATTACCAGTCACATCAGTGAGATGAATATACACATTTTATTTTTTAACAAACTTTCTTATTTACATAAACGTATAAATTATTTTATTAAGATAGAAATGTTTACAAAAAACATTGTTCTACATTGGAATATCCATGAGTTTTGATTATCGAAAAAAAACAATAATACTGAATAAGAAAAAAGGGAAGAACATATATATATATCATATTGATATAATATAATCACTCAACAAATATTAGGTATCTATCCTTTATACACTTTTAAATCAATGTGTATAAAGTATATGTTAGATGAAGTTAAAACCTCATTAGTTTTATGATTTATATTAGGCTGTTTTCCAAAACTAATAAAAACTCAAAGATGATAATAAAACAAAATATTTAATAACCATAAACTCTATAAAAAGACTTATTATGTACCTAGATAATAAAAAATACTTATTAAAGTAAGTACCTACCTAATATTAGAAAAAAAAATATTTAGTTTATTTTCTGGATTGTTTATATTTATGTTTACTGAATGTAATAATATTCGTCATAAATAATTATGTATTAATTGGTACCTACTACTATTTGATACTATCCTTTGTTTATAAACAAGTTTATTTCACTAAAAATTAAGTTAAATGTTATCGAGAAATACATAATAATTTCATTCATGATTTTTATTTTAACCTTTAAAAAAAACATCAACAGAACTGCTACTAATTAATAATAATTATATGCTGTAATAAATAATAAATTTCTTTTAAATATCAAAGTATCATACCTAAATCAAATCAATCTTAACATACTTAGAAATAATGTTGTAATTTATATTGATATTTAAATTAAGTAATTTCAATCAACAATCATATCTACCTATTTACAGAAAAAGCAAGTAGACACATTTTTGAATCCGAGTTGAGTGAAGAATCTTATAGTTTATAAAGATGTTTATTTTATATTTTTACCTGTGCACAACTTTTCTACCATCAATTTTGTTTAGACTTACAATGATAGCACTTTTTTGAAAGGAAGTCAGACTAGGGTCGTACATTTTTTTAGTTTCTTAAGATTTTTTTCAATATATTGCAAAAACTGGAAAAAAGGGGAGAATGGGAACATAGATACAATATCAAACAAATATTATTAAAGACAATTTTTAATGCATATGTAATCATTTTACCATAATATGACATATATATTGTTAACAAAGCAACATTATCAACTGGACTCCGCTCAGAAACGTTTTTTCTTTAACAATGGTTTACCATTGCTTACAGATATACGTTAAATTCCCCTCTGTATTCTACCATTCTAACTTCCTACCAACAACAGTGGCTGCACTCACATGCGAAGTATGGAGTCCACTCTTTTTTTCTAACCTCCACACATTTACCACATTTACAAAATGTCTTCATTTTTTTTTTTGTTATATACAAATAGGTCGAAGATTTTAAGAATTTTGAAAAAAAATGTATGTTAAACATGTCAGCTACACAGAACAGAAATTTACTATTGCAAATTACATTATGCACTCATCTCAATGTTATGCTGAAGTATGCTATTATTTTAGATTTTAAAAACAATTCAAAGTATGGTTCATAAATATGACTAAATCAATTTTATTTATTAATAGTTAAATTAATTATTAATTTAATGGAAGTAGGTACCTATATAAAAATACAATCAAATATGGAAATATTACAATAGGAATTATTTTATTATTTAACAGTAAGTATTATCCTTCCACAAATAATCAATTTCTTAAAATATAAAAACCTTATCAATAATATGCATTGCAATAAATAACAAGACTAGGATATAGGTAATATGAAATAGATTGAACAAGGTTAATTACTGATAACAATAAATAATGGTTCACTATATAATTTAATATTAGAAGTCAACAAACTATATTTTAATCATAAATATTTCTGACGCCAATGAATTTAATTAAAGTTCAGTTTGATAAAGAAAACAAGAAAGTAGAATTATTCATAATAAAATTATTAATTAATGTTCAGAATGTTTTATTTATTAAATAATTCAATTTAAATTAGGTTAGGTTATAATAAACATAATTAGGAGAATCATTTTGATGTCCTTTATTTAAACCTTGTATTAGATATTTTGATAAATTACCAAATATTGTCAAATATATTTCGAAATTACAATGTGAAGCAGAAATGTGATTTAATTGCAAATTAAAAAAAAAAAATAAATATTTCGCCTCTGCAGCCATTTGGTGTGCCTCATTTATAGATGTAATATGTATGTTTTAATGGTTAATTCAATTGTATACAACTCAGTATTCTTGATATAGTAATTTTTAAAATATAAAAATTGTTATTATTCATATAAATAAACAAAAAATAAAAAAACTGTAAATTTCCTTTAGTTAATATGATAGTAGCTTAAAATTTTCCTAATTTATTACATTTAACACTTTCAATTTCTGTTTGTATTGGTAAAACTAAATTAAAAATATAATATACATAAGAAAATCAACTAAAGAAACAAAGGTACTTGATAAAAAAAAATATATCCTTAAAAATACAAATTTATTTTAACATAATTAATTAATTTTAAAATTTATTTGAAAGACAAAAATATGTGATAATACACTTAAAAATCATTTTTGTAATGTTAAAATAGTTTTTAGATCAAGGTCATTTAAAAATTCTAGATTAACAATTCAAACTACTACTCTCCTGATATGTTGTTGGATATTATATGTAAGTACCAACTTTCAATATTGTATCTTTAATTTAGTTTAAAATTACATTTAGAAAAAATTATATTTTTTTGAGTTATTCAATATTAAATTATAATTTTTTAATGGAATGTAATTATGGCTTTGAATAAAAATGCCTACTTTTAACATTTATTTATAATATCAAGTCAAAACTACCTCGTACCTATGTAGTTCTATAAAACTTCTAAGTGAGGAACATAAAATTGGCTACATTCCATAAACTACAAAATCTTTAAACTCATTACTCAAGATACTATGTAATATAGGGCATAAAACTAAGTATACACGATGACTATGAATTTAAAAAAAAAATGGGTTCCTACATAATCATAATAAAATTTAATAGTGTTCACATACAAGGTCAGTAAAATTGTATGATACAAAAATAGTAGGTAATAATATAAAATGTATTAAAGTCTCACTATTTTTGTAAAATAATAAAACAATTTTGTACAAAATATATATATTATACTGTATACTAGGTTTATACCAAATATAGAATCTGTTAATGAATGAATTTATTGATATATAATAATAATATAATTTAATTTCCCTATAGTCTAGTTATAGATAGCAGATATTTTAAATAAAATATTCGAATTATTCAGATTTTAAAACAAATGTTAATAATTAAATAATCATATTTCATTAGTTGAAGAAAACTTTTTATTATGATAAAAGGAACAATAACTTTAAATATCAATAATTAATTACTTAAATTTACAACTTATTGTAAGTGTTACTACAAATTTAATGAATATATTCAAAAAAATAAAATTCTATTATAAATTACTTAATACAAACATTTATGCTATTGTTTATTTTTTTATTTAAGTGTATAATATTCCATTAATATACTTAGACTTTTGGAAGGTTTGAAAAGAAATGTTTGATTCTTAGTGCCTTGTGAATATAAACACAATATATCCTTAAAAATATACTAATTGAGATTCATCCTCTCTTTCTAGTTGTAAACAATGTAAAAAAAAGTTTAAATCATTATTCCCTCCTACAAATATCTTGCATCCCTGATACATACTGTGCTGCCCTTTGATCAAAACAGCCCTAAACAAATTCTAAATTACCCTACTCTAATATTTACCTTTGTTCATAATAATTTGTATATGATTACAATCATTGTAATATTTTCTTTCTTTTCTTATCTTATTTTAGTTGCCCTTATTAATTTTTTATTTTCATAAATTTAACATTATAAATATAAAGTATGAAATTAACTACATCTAATTATGAATCCCATGGATATGGTGGCAATTTGGTTAATAACTTATACCTAATAAACTAATTCATTGAATAAATTCAAAATTGTATTATGAAATAATAATAATATGCTATAAAAGCTAATGCCAATGGCTAAAAAGAATGTTTGATGAACTTTATATTTGAATGAAAAAGTTATGTGACTTAAAGCACAATGTCATATAGTTTTATATAATTTTTAGTGATATTTTGAATAATTACTAATTTTAATTTACTTACAGAGCAATAAACATATTTCAAAAATAATTTATGAACTTATTAGTACCTATATTTTTTTGTTTTTTAAATGAAGCATTAGAATGATTATGTGCATATATTTTGTTTTTAATTTGTCAGTTTATTAAAACAGCTAAAATTAATTTAACGGTAATATTTAAAATTTAGATTAATGCTCAGTTTATTTTTTTTCTTTTATTGATTATCAAATAATATTTCTTCATTTAACAATAAATTATTCATATCTATATAAAAAAAAAAAAATGTACCTTCAACTAAATCATTTATAATTGTGTCTAATTCTCTGAATAAAATAAAATGAATAGTGGAAAGTAAATCAAATTTTACATTTAATAATTTATTTTATGTCCACTGTATGTATGTCCACTAAATCAATAATCATGATAAAAATTTTAACTTTTTAATATATATTACTACAAATAGTTTATTTTGCATGATAATTTAAATGTTCAACTTAATTTTATTATTTAGTATTAATAAATTATTTCTTTCATCATGTTCTAATAAAACTGTCACTTACACTATCAATTTATTATTTTGAAATCGGAAATTAATTTCCGTAAATATAATTATTATTATTATTAAAAGTAAACTGAAGAATTTAATTTGTACGTTAAAACAAAATTACCTGAATTACTGGATACTGATTTTTTACTCTTGTGTTCTTCTGAATCTGAGTATCGACGGTGTTCAGACTCCTTTAGTGATAGCTGGCCCTTCCATGACCTTCTATTTTCCATTTTTAATAATTTAGATAACTGGTGTTATACACAAATACAAATTTTACAGTTCATGTAATTAACATAGCCATGGCATTAAATTTTTGTTGAGTATCTTATTGTCAATAAGACAACATCTTACACCATCTGAAAAAAATAATCATTATAAACATATTATAGAAACATTTATTTAAGTTATTTATTTAAAAATGTATAAGGAATTTATTATCATTATGTGGTTTGTTTTTTAAAACAAAAATGTATTCTTATACTTGATACCTATTAATATTTACTTTGTATCAATAAACTTACTTTGTTAAAATATAATAAAGTCAATAGTCCATAATATTAAATACTTGCAGTATTATGATTTAATTTACTCAAAACTGCATTATGTAATCAATTAATTTCAAAAACAATATTTTTTCAACCATCTATTTTCTTAACATTTAACTGTCTATACAGTTTTAAAGTTTAAAACAGAAATGTATTTTACACTAGATACATATTAATATTTACTTGACATCAATAAATATACTAGGTATGTTAAAATATAATAAAAAGTTTAAGGTCCATATTATTATGTACTTGCAGTACCTACCTATCTACCCACTGATAATAATTGATCAGAATCAATATAATATCCACTTATTAAGTTGTTCTTAATTACTAGTTAATACTATTGGACTCAAAATTAAAGATAACCAATTCTTATCTCTAGAAAATAAGTTTATTTAAATAAATAATTATACAACTACAAAAATAGAAACCGAAATTACAAATAAGATACTTATACCTAATTTCAATAATGAAATGAATTATAAAACAAAATTATTACACCTACACAAATCAAAGTTATCAAAAAACTATAATTAAATTAGTTTTAAGACCAATAAAAATTATTAATTATGTATTTTGATAATTTATTTATAACTAAACCTATAAATAAGGAAGACAATAAAATATTGTAAATCTATGTATCTACTAAAATTATTATTATCATAAGTATTGTAATGAGCTATATTTAGTTTTGAAAAAAGAACTATTTTATTTTTTTACAATAAAATTAACATTATTAGTTAATTTCTAACACAGATAGGCACAATATCAAACAAATAACTTTAAAAATAAAAGTATCAAGTACAAGAATAGTATAAATAATTCACTTTCTTTTAAAAAGATTTTGAATTAGCCAATACAAATTATTACTACCTAGGTGCTTATTTAATTTGAGTAAACTCATAAGGGTGATTATTTAACACTCAAGATAGTTTAATTAAGTCACTGAAAGAATAAACTTTTTATTTATTTATTTATTAAGTCCTTGGGCTTTTTAAAGTCAAATCAGAAATTAAAATATTATACAGTAGATAAAACATGATTATACATTAATAAAAATAGAGTTTGGATTTTAATGTGCTTTTATTTAATTTTTTTAAGGTAGGTACAAACATAGCTATGTAAAAATAAAACAAAAATGTAAAATAACGAGAACCGATACTAGATCAAATATTATAATTTATTTTACATTAAACATGACAAATAGCATTTTTACTTATTTATCAACAAAATACCCTATCTAACTTTGTCATCCGTCTAGTTGCACAAGTGATCATTATACATACATGTTTAAGTAATTAGTTTTGAAAACTACCATTGTAAATTTATTTAAAATAGAATCATATCAATAATATGTATAGTGTATCATAAATGTCGATAGTTAATTTTAATATACAAGCAACCTAGATATATGTTATGGCTGTAAATATTAAAATATTAAAATAAAGGCAACTAAAATGCATACATAATACTAAATTGGTCAATATGAATAATTGTAGGCACACATTTTGAAAATCAGAACTATGATTAATAATACCTAAGTATTTTGATTAAGGCATTATTTCATCAATCCCAAGTTCTAATAATAATAATGTACCTAAATCAAACGTTAATAAAGCAAGTAGAACAATCTACCTAGTACCTGAGGCTCAAATCCAAGTATTATATTGATTTATGATTTAAACTATTGAATGTAAGGTACATTCAGGAAGTGTAGATTGGGCTTAAGCTCACAGATAATGCTAAAAACAGTCTGCGTCATTAGGTATTATAATACCTAGTAGAAAAATAATTGTTTCATAAACTTAATCTCATCAAATAATTTAGGTACACTCCAAATAATACATAGCCATATAGCTAAATAAAAACATTTATAGTCGATATTAATATTAATTAATCATACAGTTAATAAGAATAGAATTCGAGATTGTTTTTAACTAGACAGGAAAAAGAAATAATATAATAATCACACCTTCTTACTTAAACAAATGGATTAACTCACATCAATAGTTTTTTTTATGAAATTTTAACAATTCTGATCTGTGTGTAGATAGGTGGGCATATAGTGAAATTATTTATAAGTTTCATTTATCTAACAATTAAGTATTGGGCTAAGGAACTAAGATATATATAATATGACTTAAATGTGAAACATGAAAATGTCCTTTTCTTCTATGAAAATACAAAACTTTACCTATAACTACCAAACTATACATTTTAATTAACAAATGTCAAACCTAGGTAAACTACCTACTAGGTAATATATGCTTATAACCTACTTACCTCATACCTAGTCAAATTTTTAAGTCTTCATGTTAGCACAAATAAGTTAGATTTTCCACTAGGGGTTCTAGATGGTAAAAGTCAAGGTGCATTAATACTCCTTGTTAAAAAAACGAAAATATTACCTAATGTTACTATGATGATACTTAGGGTAAGATTCAAAAGTTTGTTTTTCCATTGTACCTATGCATTTATTGTACAATATATATCCTAATTTACAAATCGAATAGGCAATAAATATGTTGAGTAGGTATGTAATAATTAATTTGCCATTGAAATTACCTACTAGATTTCTGGTTGGTTGGCTTCTCACCGATACTAACCTCGCAACTAATAAAATAGCTAAACAATTATAAAATTCTAACACGAATCTGAAATACAATAACCATAGGTTTTTCACCAAGTTTTTGATTGTCATTTAAGTCATTTGCAAAAATAAAAGTATGAAACCATCAATACATGACGTATTTGAACTGACTCACACAAAGTAAATGACTTTCATCAACTAGGTACTCATGTCCTAATACATTCACCCAAATTGAATGTAGGTAGATACCCGAAACCATGTTTACAAACCGAAAGACAAACAAAACAGTAACGTGGTACTAAATAAAGACAATGTTTATGATCGCGGGGCATCTATATCGGGATTCGGGGACCTAACGGAATACCCAGTGTTAATTGTCTATAAATTGCAAACACCTACAAAAGTGCACATCTATTAGTCGTAAACAAAGGCACAGCTAGTGGATGCGTATAACACAACACCGACAAAACACTCACCGTGAAAGGAGGAACGAGTGTGCAGCAATAGTAATGTGCGCGACAATCCTTTTGGGAAAAGGTGGACACCGTGTATGACGACGGTATTGACATTTCAATACTGTACGATCGTACAGGACTGTCTTGGACGCGGCAGTGGCAACGGCATAGCGGCCCGGGCTGTGTCACGACGTCGAGGAATTGGACGAAGACGACCGTGAACGACAAGCGCGAGGGCTGCCGAACTGGACGACGGATGAGCGCGCGGTCGGTCGGTCGATCGACGGCGGCACGTCCTATCAGCCGTTGGCTAGGTGTACCTATGGGATCGTGGCAGTGGCGCCCCGCGTTCGGAACGGTGATCGAGTGAGTGAGCGTGCGCGTGCATGTGTGTGCGCGAGCGTTGTTGTCGGTTCCTTGTGCGGCCAGACGAGAGCGCGGCGGCGGCTGAGGATTTCCCACGCACTCGCGCACACGCACACTCACCCGCACACTCACTGCTGGTTTTGGTAGCGGCGGCAAACCGGGGCATAGAAAAAAATGGAGAAAATTGGTTTTTTTTTTCCCCTGCCCCGTTATTTTCGATACGTAACAAGGAATAATATTAATTTTTCGCGCGCTGGACGTTATCGGCCGTACGGAAACACGATCACGATCGTCAATTCGTACGGAGCGGCGACGATGACACACACACACACACGCACACACACAAACGACGCACACTCTCTCGCGATCCGTCGACGAGAGAGCGCGCGGCCGTCGTCGACCCGCCCCCCAGCCGACCCGGTCCGCGACGCGACAGACAGAGACGAAAGATGATGATAATAATAATAATTTACGAGTCTCAACCTCGCTCCCCATCCCCCCGGCCGCCCGTCACTGTGACACGCCGCCGGAACGCAGCGGACATGCGCGAGCGGGTCGCGGGGAGGCCACCGCCAACTCGTTCTCTCTTTTTCATTTTTCTTTTTTCTTTTTTTTTTTCTGTTCCTCTGAGCGGGCCGTCGCCGCCGCCGCCGCCGCGTTTTATTCGGATCGATTCCGGCGGCGTCAGCGGGACGCTCGGCCACCGGCGTACGCATTATATATTATTTCCACGCTCGACTATTATTATAATAATATATTATTATTATTACTATTATACATACACACGATACAATATACCCATACGTTAGACGAAAACTCGCACAGGTATTGGGCGCCTGCCCGATTATTTTCCTATCGTTTTGCCAACGACGACGACGCCTCGGTCGGCGGCGGCGTGTCGGGCCCGCGACCTCACGTCACTCCTGCGCAACGCGTTATCGTAACGTTACGGAGTGCTTTACCGGGAAGGCAGCGCGTTGCAGGTACTCTACGTGTGTTATTATTAATAATGATATGTCGTGGTAGGTACCCGGTGACCGACGCGCGCGGCGCAAACAATATAATAAAATATTCTTATTATTATTTTATTGTTGTAGCCGTCGTCGTCGAAAAAACCGCACTGCGGACGCCGTCCCACCCGTCGGTCGCTTCCGGCGATAACCTCGTTACGGAAAGTTTCGTGCGCGCCGAGCGACGGCGACGTGACGTCACCCGAGGTCGACCGGAGAGTTGTACCGTCGCGCCGGTGACGGCACAAGCGCGGACAGCCCGGACAGGTGATATTGTGGTGATAATAGATACCAATAATAATATACCCAACTAAACTGCGTTACGACGATAGCACCGGCACAACGCGCCGCGGTTCTCTCGCCTCGGCGGCGTCTGTGCCGCGATTATTGCGAACATTTTTCGCACAAAACGTCCTCGTCGGACGCAGCGTTGCACCGACCTGCTGATGGCGGATAACGTGCATGAATGTATGCGCGTTACAATATCGGTATTATGCCGAAGCCAATGCGATAATAACCGCGCGCGATAAATATCGTACCGCCCGCCTCCTACTTGGGGACACAGCAGTCATTTTCGATCGATCCGAAAACAATCTTATAATCGTGTTATACGCGAGTAGGTATTACACGGGTACCTTGCAATAGGCGCAATAGGCTACGACAATGATTTTGATTTCGATTGTCATTATTATTATTGTTATTTTGCTATTGTTATTATTACTATTATTATTGTTAATAAAACAGGTACGGCCCGTGCAAACATGAACGCGTCACGTATCGGCGCGCGTACCCGTTTCGCGTAAAAACACGACACGCTAGTTAGGTACACATGCAGCGCCGTCGCCGCCGCCGCCGCCGCCGCCGTCTGATTCGTCGCTAAGGTCGAACGCACCGAGGTCGATCGGACCCGGTGAACGGCGTACCGCCGCCGCCGAGCCGCGGCATTTAAATAATAATAATAATAACGCACGGCGCATACCTGTCCACCTGTTCGGAACGATGACCGAAATCTCGCGTTCGTTCCGCGGACATGGACACGCCGCGAAAGTCCCGTGCGGCCGGCCAGCGTAATGCGAACCCACGACACCCCCGACGACGTACAATCGTATAATATCGCAACGATATTGTCATTGTACTCGCGCGCGTAAATCGACTCGCGGTAAGTTTGCCGAACGGTGCGCGCAGGAACGCCATGGCCGCGCGCTCTCGAGCGAATTTCCGGGTGCGAGCGCACCCATCGCCGATAGACCGAGAGGAGACCATTTTCCGATACTCCCGGATATATTGTCCGTCCGCAGTGCCCGTGTGCACGTGTTTTCCCCGCTTCCCGTCTAACGTTCGCGCGCCTGGAACCCCCCGGAATCAAACCGGACACGGCGACGGGCCTACCTGTAATATTATTGCGATTGTCATATTGTTATTATGTTCAGTGGCACGGTGAAGGAATTTTGGAATGGCCTCTGAATTTCAACAGTGGGTGGGTGGGTGGTTTGGGTGGCTCGTGACTTATATACGATTGTACCTATACATAATCTATATTCATAACTATACAAGGAAATATGAACTATACAGGGAAATTAAAGTGGAACACACGTACATAGAGAATAAATTTGGTGGAACTGCATATACTTTTAAATAATTTTAACATGGGATTGAATCGAATTACTTGCGTATCATAAATATGTCGGTTGGTGTTCATAAACTTTAAAAGCGTGCTAAACTGCAGCCCCTATTTGTTTTAGTGAACCGCGGCACAAAGTGTCGTTTAGTGACCAAAATTATAAGTGTGTGGTGTATGATACTATGATACTTAATAAAAGAAATTGTTATTTGTCACATTTTACCAAGATGACGTCAAAATAGAAGCTAGACTTCCTAAACCTGCTAAAAAAAAAGTACTGCTTTTGATTTATAGTTTGTGGGTCTCCCGGTTTGTGTGAAAAAATAAGTAAAAAAAAGTTTACCGCGCCACAGTTTATGTTGTCCGGTATGAACAGGGACCATCTAAAAAAGTATTTTATTTTTTTTAGCGGTGAGTAGACAAACAACCTTTTGTAATTTTAGAAAAGAAGACATTTTATTATTTATTTTTATGCAAAACCGATAATAATTCTCAACCGAAAATCGAAATAACCTTCTTGAACCTTTTTTAACCTTTTAAAAAATGCATATTATTAAACTACTATAGTATAGTTGTCATTATAAACTGACGCGTTGTCAGTGTTAGGTAAGGGTATATTATAGGTTATGTATAAAACGAACAGAAATATGTACAAAAAAAAAAATCAATTTTACAAGTTTTAGTAATTGTAATATTTACAATACTTGTACTGACGGTTTGACGATTTTGTCAATAAGGGAGTTATTGAATTTGAAAATTGTGCCATACTATATTATAACGTATAAGCATATAAACTACAAAAAGAAAATCAATGATTTGTAGGTACTTTAACTGCAATTTAATTTGCATATTTTTGAAAATATCTAACTTATAATTCATTATGTTTCAAAAATTTAAATTTAAATCAAATAACAACAATATATTTTTATGTTGGTATATTATTATAAATAGTATAGTGCTTAGCTTTTTTAGGCACCTACTAATCCAAACATCCACGTTATATCAAAGTACTGAAGTCTTTTCTTTTTTTTAATAAATTAACTATAGATACTAACACGTTTTTCGATTTTTCCGACTAAACACTGAAGAAATTTGAATTTCAAAAATATAAAGCCGTATACCTAAATAATAAGTAACTACAACAAAAAAAAACCATCGCGGTAGGAGATATACTATTTCTCTAATCTCCCTCTGTCCCCTACTAAAAACTACACTGCGTGACGGGCTTGTGGTGTCACTTCAAAAATGTATTCGTCTTGAATTTATGTATAGGTCCCATAAAAACCACATAGTGTATAACACACAATAATACTAAACCGTATAATAATAGTAATATTATACAACACAACATTATAATAATATCAAATCTTACCTACATCGTATATACGTAGGTACCTATTTATAATATAAGACGTGTAATCAATAATCATGTATATAGATACCTATACCAATATGTTATTATTATAAATACGTGCATGCTATTATTGTACTGATTATTGTGTTTAGCACAATCTGTAGGTATACACATACTACATAGTACCAATATCCTTGTTACCCATATCGTTGAAAAGAAATGTGCATTTTTTTTTCCATACGATAATCCGCTTGCCGAGGACACGCGAAGTTCACTTGTGGTGTGAAAACCTATACTAAAGTTCGTAACAATTTTGTAGTAATAACGTATAAAACAAATAACCCCTAGTATTATAACTAATTTTATCACGTTATACCTTCGACCTTCCCGTGCCTGAACCAGCGGCCTAACCATATCACGATGCGAATAACGCGAAGGTAGGTATGTCCAAATTTCCAAGCCAACTAGCTAATAATATATACTTGATAATCTACTTCAAATGTACTCGCATCACGTCTTTTTGACAGTTTCTGTTTTATCGGATTAATAGGTACGAGTAAGAAACGGAATCATTTTCGCGCAGAGCTCAATCAATACAATATTCCAATATTATATTGAATTCGCGTATTTTACGTATTTTTATATACATTATAATATTATACAGTAGGTATAAAGAAACAAAATGAAACGGTCATAAACAATCAAATACACATAGTATATACAGAGTGTCCGGTGTCTCAAGAAGATATACCCAGTATAATATCTCGGGAGATGAAAATTTAAAAAAAAATTTCAAGGTTACCGTATTATAGAATTTATTCTTCTGAAAATGTTGACGTATTGTTATTGTTTAAAGTTCAGGGAAAAGAAATATACATTCAATTAATTGTAATAATAATAATCAATTAGAGAATGCGATTACAGCCCGCTGCATAATTTTGAGTACTTTTCTCTGAATTTTAAAAAATTATTAAAAATCACGAATTTAGTGAAAACAAAACATCGATACGTCAAAATAATAAAATAAATAGTATTTTTTTTTTAATTTTTCTATCAAAACACGAAAAATCAATTGCAATATAACTGTGTATAGTCCTTATC